ACAACAATCATAATGATGTGGGTTTCTTCCTATGTAACCGTGCGTATGTAATATTGCTACATTCGTACTGGGTAATTATGAAGGCTTTGAAAGAGCATTTGGTCCGATGTCCATGCCGTACATAATTCCTTTTTGGCAGACATGTTTATCACGAAAAGTGTACCTGAAATAAATACATTCCCAGTGTTGCTTCAAGAGTTTCGTCGATACCAATTGGACGCACAGACCCTGTTATGTAAATGTCTGCTTAATTCCTGTCCATTTCTCTCATTAAAAAAGTATATGACTGTCCAAACTGATTTTGTTAAAGACGACAGGGTAATCTAATTTTCAAGACGTACGAATTGTATTATTACATGACACGTCATCAGTGTCTGTCTGTGAGTCAAATTTCCAGGTGCTTACTATTTCAAAATTTCTTATCACTGTTTCAACCATTGAAATGACTACCTGTTAAGTAACAGACTGTTATTCGTCGATGATAATTACTTCAAAACACCTGGCTCAATTATTCGAGGATGTCAACCTTTGTCGTTGTTCGGGCCCTACTGACTCAAATAATCCATTTAATTCCTTGAAAAATAAATGATAAAGAGAGAAAAACAAATATTCGCCAAAATGCTGAAAGATGATTTAAAGATAACTTAGATCGAACCCTCAAATTTAATGGACAAATATAAACTCACCAAATATAAATGATATTGACATCGAATGACGGCGAGCGAATGGTAGACATATAAAGAATAATCTAATAGGAAAACGAAACAACTAGACATCAGGGATATAAAATGAATAATACAATGGCGATTTTTGTTATCTCAAATTCGTCCATTTTATTCAATGTTATCCAACTTAACCAATACTCTTAAAATTTAAAGCCGAGTGTGGCGACTAAAATTGCTGCCATTAGACGTTCTTCCTCTTCTTGTGTTTCTTTTCTAATTTACGTGATATTTGCACTTTTCTAATGACAGCGGTCATAGTACGAATATTAGCATCATAATAAATGACCAACAGATAATATCACAGTTGTCATTGTGTTTTTGTTTCTAAGGTATTCACGCCAATAGGCACACGGGTAAGTATTGCCCTCTTTTCATGGAACATATGGATGAACGTGGATATATTCATGGCACCCAAAGACATAGGAAACGTATATGGTCTATGCGGACGTGTTGATGGAAACAAGTCTAATGATTTGACTCATAGAAACACCAACGTTGAATCACCGCTAGGAAGAAAAACATTCAATTACCATCCAGAATTTAGTGAATCTTGGAGGTAATAATGAGGAAAGTACAAACATTGACAAATATGACTGACACGATTTTATGTCAGTCATAAACTGTAAGAGGAGTAATGTTGAATGAAATGTATATGACCTGCCTAATGAACGGTTTTGTAATTATTCTATGGTGCCAGCCAGAAATACCTTATATAGTTCTAAAAATAATGATACAAATAATGTTCTATATAACATCATACAACCATGACCAAAGTATCATGTTTCTATGATTGTAAACAAGCGGAAGTCTTTCCCCAAACTATGTTCAAACGAAACAGATAAGAAAGAATGTTTTTGTGAAAAATCATGTCGATTTATCTGTGTGTAGTAATAATGATTTATTGTAAATTAAACAGGATTGACGAAAATGCTGATGAAAACCTTTTCCGCCCAGGTCTTAGATTATTAACACCTTGGGTTCGACAGAATGGTTTGTATTGTGTATGTAATAGTACCACAAGAATTAACGAGGCTTTATGTTCACCGACTCAGTATCTTGATTGTACAAAATCAGGATCTATAACAAAAACGAAATGCCACATCAAGGATCGACGGAAAAGAGAAGTTGGGAATCATTCAAGTAAAGAAATGCAGCGAATTTTGTCCAAAATCGCAGGTCAATTAAGTACTCGGAAACGGGTAGGTTTGCGTTGTGTTATTTTAAATCACTTTTCCATGCACAAAGTTTAACAAAAAATAGTTTCAAAATGTCATTTCAACCATATGTCACAGGTTCAATTAAACATACATTTTACTTTTATTGTTTATTGATGTCTGTAATTTTTAGTCCGTATTGTCATTTTTTGGCCAGCGCATTAACCATGTTATTATTGTGGAATATCCAATAACTAAACTGCTTATCATACGTTTCGTTCATATTGTAAATAGGTATACTATATTGCGATCCTCTCTATATAATTTCCTACACAACTGATTAAATACACTACGCACTGTCATTGTTTGATTGCAGCAGCTGTCAAACATCCATTTTTGAACTTAAATAAGGTAGTATGAAAGCGAATAATATATGGTTTGCATACCGCTTGTCCAGATACCAAGTAATTGAAGTAACAGCGGCGATAATACTTTGTGTATCTTTTAGAATACAACTACCGTCGCCCTTATTTAAAACTTTTGTAAATATTATGAAAGGATAATTGCTATTTGTAATGCTGAATATCTAATACAATGATGATGTTGAAGTTGAACACTTTCAGCGTGAAGATGTTCCAGAGATAGCGATAACAGAAGAAGCCAAAAGTATCTGTAGCAAGAAAATTTCTGGTATACAAGCCTTTAACGACTTTACAGATATAGGCTCCAATGACGATGAAAACACTGTCATACAACAATGTGAATTTGACCTCTCGGTAAATAAGCCAATGTTTTCCAAGCACTCCGTTATATTTGCCAGTATTTCATTATTTCTATGAAGAAAAAAAGTGAAAAAAAATGAAGTCATTGTGTTGATAAAACTTAATTTTGCTTTAAAAATATGTTATGTAGGTTTCATTTAATAAGTTGAAAAAAAAACTCACAGGTTTGTTGTTATTTACGTTAATTGATGCAGCCCCTTAAAAACGGTAAAAATTGTAACGCAATCGTGGAAAAATTGGTCCCTCTAAATTTATAGTATAATTACGGGAGAAACTACATTTAGCAGAAAACTGGCGATTAAAATAAATGTTAAGTGTAAAAATCACAAGATTTAAACAAGCCATACAGTCAAGAAATATTTAATTAACCTGTCAAGGAATCCATAAGTTTTCTACCACTCCATAGATTATGAGAAGAACCTTGGTATTTTTCTAATTTTTCTTTGAATTGCGCTTATTTCATACTCTACGTTGCCATTTTGCGTAACACATAAGCAGTTCATCTTAATGGTTTATGTATTTCCTTCGTTTTATTTGATAATTCAATTTTATTTTCTTTATGTGTGTTGTTTTATTTGTAAATAACACAAGCTAATACTTGAAAAATAAGAAATTATGTATTAACCTACACGATTTTGTTTGTATGAATTGTTTGCATCTGAAAGGTTGTTAAGGACAACTCCTGGGCTGATGTTCATGTCGAAGCTGTAAATGGTGGGGTTAAAAACATGTTAGACCTTCAACCAACAGTCGTTGAGAACAATTCAGAAAAAGTGGAAAACTTCTATGAGAATACATGTCCAATGAATTGCAGTGGCCAGGGTAAATGCGTAGAATCGGGTAATCCTTTTTCCAGTTAACTTTTTTTTTCTTATAAAAAGAAAATATTTAATGCATACTAAACGTGTTTTCTCTTTCTCTCTGCAGAAAGGGAAATCAAGCATTTTAAAATGTTGTAATTATAGTAGTATAAGAACATTTAAGATGCATTTCATTTCTCTTGATAATGATAGCCCTGAATGTTAAACAGTTTATGATTGAGATAGTATAATATAAAGAAACTAGTATTTCACATCCTTAAAAGTACTTATTAAAATCACTAATACTGAACCAATTGCCAAAATACAAACAAAGAAGCAAAATATTATTCATCTTTATTATCAATTAGCTACGTTTCAGTAACTGCAACAGGATGCCAACATTAAAATAGAAATTGAAATATAAAGACATTAGCAACTTTTAGTCTTTATGAGTCTTACAAAAGTAAACATGAAAGAGCCATCAGTTATATATCAGAAAAAAGTATCATATTTTGCAGCAAATGTTATTGTTATTGTTACATCGATCCAATATTGCTGTAATAACAGAACTATAAACCTAATGAATCGGTTTCTATCGTCAAATCAGGTTATGTCGTAATAACCACAAAAAGCCTTTCCTTTTTCAGTTTTTGCATATCTATTTAAGAACAATTATGTCAGAAATTACCTTTTTATTTAATGTCAGGTCATAATCTGTGACACTGCTAATAAGGATGCAAACATATCAACTTACCTTTTAATGTCAAGCATGCGATTGGTTTTCAGGGATCTGTTCTTGTTTTACGTACTACAAGGGACCTGACTGTTCTATAGACGAACGTGATGGTCTCACTATTTTGGACATAGAAGGAGGGGGAGAATGTGATCTTGCAGACGGCGAAGAGTGTAAATGTTTCTATGTTCGGTCTGAGAACATTCAAGAAAACTTCACTTGTAATGTCAACACATCAAAGGTGAATTTACACAATAAATTTACACAATAAATGTCTGTCTAAATTTTCGTCAATTCCATATGCTTATCAGCTGTTATTCAATTACATTGGTTAGAATATACATTCGGAGTCTTTAAGCTTCAATGCTAAACAAAACTTGAAACATCGAGATGGTTTACCGATCATTTCGCTATCTTACTGTTTAATAACAATGTGTTCCTTGTCAAATCAATAAAATGAACCAATAGCAAACACGACGTTTTTCAATGATGTCAAATGTGTGAAATGATTAACCTGTTAAATTATCAGTATCGTCAGTATGTAGTGTTTACAAATACATTTTTTTAATGTTAAACACTATTCGTAGATCTCGAAGAATGGAGCTGTTGAGTTTGTCTCCTCAAGTACGTCCATTGGTGGCTTTGAGGATATTTTCACAGGTATATGCTGTGCCCCGAAAAGTATAATTGGGAGTGACGATGTATTTGTTGCACAATACACGGTTTCAATTAGCAACAATGGTATTCACTTTGGAAACGAAGAAAGTGTTTACGTCTTCGATTCTGTGTGTCAGAGCATCTCTACAAGTGAATCTGGAAGTAAATCATTCAGTCTAAAGGTATAGACTTTTAACGGAACGAAACACTATTGTGTTGCCAATTTACTTCACATCAACTGTTATCATGTATTTTGTTTACTATATGTTGAGTATAATTTATTTTACAGGTCTTCGGCAAAATACACCTTTCGAAAAAATAATACTTAATTTGACTTTACTAAAATTTAAATATTTCAATAGATGTTTTGTTACAACAATATATTTTATTGTTGTTGAAAATTACGTTTATCTGTCTTATCAAAAAATGTTTAATTGAATAATGCAAATGTGACAAGTACATGAATTAAATTGTAGTGCTTTAACTTATTTGGAAATAATCATCCATTCACAAGTATTGAAAGGTGACACCTTGTAATGATCTATTTTGTTTGGATGTCACACTTTATTTTGTCATTTACTGAAGAGACTAGCATGAAAAATATTCAGCTACCAATTTATTTGAAAAAAAATGTGAATATTGGAATGAAGTGAAAAATTATTTTTTTATATAAAGGACGACCATTGCTTCGTTGATGGCTATTGCTACTCAGACAACGATATGGCACCGGCCGGTTGTCGTGCATGTCAATCTTCAAAAGCGCTTTACGATTGGACAGGTACATGGTATTGCATAGAAAATGATGATTAATATAATATTGTCATAGATTATTTGCGATATATTATATACAAATGATAATGTTACCTATCTAATTTTGAAATTGTATTCGAATGGAACATTGTTTAATATTAATCGCTTTCACCAAATAAGTACATATGATGTAAAAATTTAGAAATCCAAGAACCTTCCTCGCCCTCATGTTACCTTGCCTTTGAACTTTAAAAAAAAAATAAAATCAGGGAATATAAGAAAAATAATTGTAAATTAACATTCAGCTTTTGATCCTTGTCAAAATGGAGGGAATTGTTCCGACGAAACGATTGGTTATTCCTGCATTTGTATGCCAGGTTACAATGGCCTCAACTGCGAATATGGTAAGTTACGTGATACTCCGTAATTTGACAATTTTTTAAATTATATTCATTCATTAATGAAAAGGTTTTAAATTAAAAAAAAAAGTAAAGTTACAAGTATTCTTTTCAAACATTTACCAATGCAAATCATAGATAGAAAATCATACAACGATAACTATGCATTTAACTATCAATATAAAGCTTGCAAAACGTACTAGCTTGGTATTTGTTGTTATAACAAAGCATATCATTTGCACAATGGCATCATACATAAATTATATATTAGGCTAAAACATTACGAAAAGTATTCACTCTGAGCATATAACTGTATTTTTTCACCTTTTTATTCAACAATTTATACCTGTGTAGAAATCGACGAATGTTTATCGACGCCATGCAAGAATGGTGGTGTTTGCAGCGACCTTTTAAATGCATATTCGTGCAAATGCTTAGATGGATTTTCCGGCAAAGACTGCCAAACTGGTAAGTTGCAAGCATTCAATTGATGTCAGGTGTTGCCTGCATATGATTATGGTTCTAATTTTTGAGCACTTCGGTTGTATAAATAAATCTTGGAGAACTCTCTTAATTTTAAGCTTTAAGATGGATTTTAAATTTTTGTTTGTAAAACTCATATATAGACATTAAGACCTGTATAATCATTCTCAATTCAAAACTTTAAAGATGTTTAACTAAAAAGCTGGAAACTAGTGATCAGTTGCTGTGCAAACGAAAAACTTAAAAAAAATATACCAAAATTAATATCAAAGCTTCAAACTAAATTCTAAAGAATCATGTGACTCTCCTCTAATAATGAATATTAACACGAGTGAAACTATATATCTGAACATAAATTGATAAAACTTTATGATTTAGCATGTAAACTTAATTAATTTAAATAATGTGCTTTCTTGTTTGACTACTTTTGGTATTCATTTAATATTTTGGATAACAATTTTTGAGGGATGTTTTAAAGATTTAATAACTGTCACAAATTAAGAATTAAGATTTGGTATATTGTAGAAAAGTGTATGCTCTCCATCATAGGCACATGATGGCAAAAAGGTTTTTTAATCAAATTCCCATTGTGACCGACAACCCGCCGATATTTTATAAACTTTTATCTATAACACACACTCTTATCAAATCAATAAAACGTCTTAAAACATAGATATATATGCTGTGTATATAGATAACTATAAGGTATTTCTCTAGTCATGTTCTTACGCAACAGTTCCGGTAGCCGGACACAACAGGCTGTTGATCAAAGCATTTGTTTACCAAGAGCCTAACCTCTCAATTCATTCTTTTACGTGCATTTGGACTACGGATGAAGTTAACCTAATTTAAAAAGGCAATTAAATCTCACTTTCCAATACCAACTACAAAGTCATGATTCTACTACGTACTATATTTTACGCTTGGCTTTATGTTTTTTCCTATATTTTGAATAATGACATATTTTATATCTTTGTTAGACATAGATGAATGCTCTTCAAATCCATGTAGAAATGGCGCTTCATGTATAAATGACATCAACATGTATCAGTGCAACTGCACTGATGGTTATGAAGGAACATATTGCGAACAAAGTAAGAAAAGTTATGTGTGTTTGCGTTATTTACTGACTTGTTCACGCCCGTCTCCCAACAAACAATATAAATGACACAAATGTTTTAATTATTCCGATTACATTTGAATGTATTGTTAGAAAACGAAACAAAAAGTATTTCGTTTGGTATTATGATACAACTAGAACGAATCAAACCTATTATTATATTATATACTAGCCACGCCAACTCAAGTCAAACACCAAAATATGTAACCTCTTATTAGACACAGTCTTAAAGGCTCAGTATGTCTCAAAAATTCACATTTTTCATTTTTTTAAGAAATGTCAAACCAGTGTTTAAAATGTGTTAATAATAGATTTACAGCATTATTAAATGTTTAAAAACTAAAGAAATAGCACTGGATGTGTAGTAGTAGTATTGTGCTATAAAGGTAGCAAAATGTAAACACAGTTGTATTTTGACTTCTACTAATTCACTATAATTATACCAATTGCTTATACAGCAACATTAGCAAATGATAGTTCATCTATATGACAAATAATTAATGTTTTGGAAAATGTAACAGGATACCAAAAATAAAAAGTTTTTGAAAAATAAAAATGATAGCATATCTGAGGTATCATGGGCCTTTTAATAAAGGGTTATCAATAAGTTTAAACAAAGAGCAATATATATATATATATATATATGATGATTTATGTTACTAGTAAGAGAAAATCATGTTTACATAAACGAAAATGACTAAAGTAGCTGTATTTGTAAATAAACATTTAAAATAGTCGTATAAGTTATAAACAAACATTCTAAACAAAATGTTTACTGGTTATATTTCGCTAATATAATTAGCATGCACGTCCAGCTTAATCGAAGAGAACACGCATTTATTATAGATCAAATTTGGTAATTCAAACATTATGCAAAAATAAATATTCCGACGCAAATGGAATGATTGCAATTTTATATTTCTTTAAAATCGAATTGACAGATATCAACGAATGTGCATCGGATCCATGTCAAAATGGCGGAACTTGTATAGACCTGATCGCAAACTTTAAATGCGAATGTATGGATGGATACGAAGGGATAACATGCAGTATTGGTACTATTTCTTATCTTAGCTGTACAAGTATAACATTTGGATACATTTTGGTTAATTCAGCGTAAGCAAACTAAAGAATAAGCCATATTTTGATACAGTTGTTGGCAAACCACATTGTGATGTCGGATGCACTGTTCGGTTCAATCTACATCAATCTTCGAAAGCATAAAACTTCAGGAATTATTATTCTTTATATGCAATGTATATACATAATTATATAATTAATGAATAAATCGCCAACAAATATTTTGATTGGAAAAAAGAACGTGTTTAATGATACATACAAATAAATTAAAAAAATGTAATTTTAACAGAACTCGATGAATGCATCTCGAATCCTTGTAAAAATGATGGCGTATGTCATGATGTTGTCAACGGATTTCAATGCGCATGCACACTCGGGTATACGGGTAACAACTGCGAAATAGGTACTGGCAAACACATCATAATTAAATATATTTATTTCCAACATTTACTTGTATTACATTGTAGTAAGTGGTATTTGGCATGGCAATTTTCAATTCTATGGTTTATGTTGTCATATTTGTAACGCTTTTTGCTTCTTTCAAGAAAAATACTTTTTTTACCAGCAGATAAAGATTTTAGACATGCAAGAAAATAATTGCTTTGATGTTAAGCAAGCCGTTGAAGCAATACGTTACATTGAGTAACGCTTGTACATCTGTTAGCATAATTTTTATGCAAGGTTTCTATCAATTTACAAGTATATTAAAACGTTTAAAAATAATTGCGTTTAGGTCATGGATAATTATGAATTATGTCTTTGTTTTTTGTGTCAGATCAATGTTTTTCTGAACCATGTAAAAATGGAGGAACTTGTGTAATCAGGGACAACATCTACTCGTGCACATGTGCTTCAGGGTATGAGGGACATAATTGTGACAAAGGTAATCTTTTAAAATCACCAAAACAAAGGCTGCTTAAATTTGATCAATGTTTTATTAGACATGTACCTATGACGTATAGCTTTTATTATACGTATAAACGGGTAGAAAGTTTAGTGAGTAACAATTCATTCGGAATAACCTAAAATGTCGTTCATATTGAATCATGCATTGTGTTTTTCTTTTTTACTTCATTTTTAAATACATGTACTAAAATATAAAACATTTAAATTTTAAAACACAAAATGTCTGAGCAAAATATGTCTTAGTTTCATGGATAAGTTTCTTTCATTTTCTTTCATTTCTTAACAGATGTAAACGAATGCCAAAGCAACCCTTGTAAAAATGGAGGTACATGTAAAGATTTGGTCAATGGTTTCGAATGCTCATGTGCCCAAGGCTTTAATGGAGTTCTATGTAATTATGGTGAGTCCGTTTGCTAGACCAGTCAAAATAGTACTATCTCAACCAACCTTTCTTATCATTAAGAGGCATTTCGAAAACTACCATTTCAACCTAATGCATCGTTTAACACTTTTGGATCATTTTTTTTTTTTTGGAAAATGAGAAAATAAATATCTAAATTGTGTTTCTTTTTGTTAAAAGCGTAATTAAATTCTTTTTTTATATTTCATCACTAAAAATAATTACTTTGTAGAAATCAATGAGTGTTTATCGAAACCATGTCAGAATGGCGGTGTTTGTGCTGACCTGTTGAATGCATATTCGTGTGAATGCCCTGCTGGATTTTCCGGTGAAAACTGTGAAAATGGTAAGTTGCATGTATTAAACTTTTTTGTTCCTGGATCAAAGTGCATATGACATCACATCCACTTGTTTTGTTAATTTCTTTAAATTAAATTTAAAAACTAAATCTGTAATACTGCTTTGGTATATATTTTCATATAAAACTAGATAAAGCTGGTGGCATGTTATTACTTCAATAATCTATAGCACCGTCATAGAATTAGGCATGAGAGAGCGTTTAAAAACCAAGGACAGAGCAAATGTAATAACGATATGAAGTCGATAGTATCCTTTTGCAAACGATGATTCTGACAATATTTATCTTTTTTGAATTTTCTTAATATTTAGATATAGATGAGTGCTCTTCAATTCCATGTAGAAACGGCGCAACATGTATTAATGGCATCAACATGTATCAGTGTACTTGCTCTGCAGGGTTTGAAGGAGAATATTGTGAAGAAAGTAAGAATGACATTAAGATTTAATTATTTATAAGCTATCTTTTCTCTCTTTGATACATTTACACATGTATCACTTTGAGTAAACATGACCCAACAGAATACGCGTGATATATCAATGTAGCATTTATGTTTGGATTTTCTAAGAATGAATCACACTTGGTCATTGTTATGATTCTGTATCAGCAAACTCTACTTAACTATAAGCTTAAGTGCATGAGGTTTGTCTTTAATTTCATACAAACCAATGAGGTGCTTACGCTTATTTGACAGATATCAACGAATGTGCTTCGGATCCATGTCAGAATGGCGGAACTTGTAATGATCTTGTCGCAAACTTCAAATGTGAATGTGTTGCTGGATTTGAAGGAAACACTTGTAGTAAAGGTATAATATGTATACCTGAATTTTGAATAGTTTTGACCAATTTGCACCTTTTAACAGTAGATTTTTATTTTTAGACATATGTTTATTGAAACAAATCAGGCATACGTCATGCAGTAATTTTTATATGCATTTAATCTACTTTAAATTTACAAAACATATATCTATTGAATCAAATACAAAATTCCTACTAAATATGAAATTTGGAAAGAAAAAGTTATCAAATGATTAAATTGCTGACAGAAATCAATGAATGCAACTCAAATCCTTGCACAAACGGCGGCACATGTAATGATGTAGTCAACGGATTTCAATGTGTTTGTGCCAACGGATACACGGGAAGCAACTGTGAAATTGGTAAGATAAATTTTATCTTATATTTGGGATGAAAAACAGAAACTATGCATTTACTTTGTTTCGCATCCCTATCATTTTCTTTTTGATTAAATGTCAGTGTACTATACGTCGTGAAAGTTAAAGTTCTTACAATTTTTTTGTAAAATCTTTGAATTGTTGTCAGTTGAAATGCATTTGGAACACAATACAACTTTATTCTCACTACATCATTTATGTTTTCTACTCATTTGTTTCAAATCAAACTTGTTGCACCTATCCAGCTAGCTTACGGAACGTCAGTGGTTCTAGTCAGGTGCCCGTTCGTGTCAGAAATAATGAACGGAAGGGCACCTGAGGTCTTCTTTTACCAGTTAAAGCTGAAACGTCGCCAAATGACCTATACTGTGTCGGTGTGACGTAAAACCCAAAACAAACAAACAACAAATTTGTTGCACTCAGTTAAGATACCATCGCCATCTGTTAACGTTACTCTATCTACAAAAATGTATTTGCTCAGTGGTGTGTTAGTTACATTTAAAGTGTAGGGTTGATCATATTCCATGACAGATATAAACGAATGCCAAAGTAACCCATGCAAATATGGAGGAACGTGCAAGGATTTAGTCAATAGTTTCGAATGTGCTTGTTTTCAAGGTTATGACGGAACTACGTGTAAAAATGGTGGGTATTTATGTTTAAACTTGGTATAAGAAAACATAATATAATTATTTAGTTCGTGCTCTCTTAACTTATCGCTTCATGAGAATTTTGTGAAAAAGGGCTGTTTTCATTAAGAAAGCCTCCTGTTACAAGTTAAATTGATATGAAACTATAAAAAAGGCTTCATTACTGTTACAACTTGGCACAAATGTTGACTTGACCATAGCCTTTGTAACGGCATGCTCAATCTTAAATTTCTGTTACCATGGCAACGAGGGACATCTAAATATCGCCAAATATTAATATTGTTCGTTGAATTTGCGATCAAAACTAATTTCAAAGTGCCTTTTTTCAATAGATTGAGATAGATTTAAATGCCTCTCATTTAATGATAAAACGTTACCTTAAAGTCGGCTGGATGCTATTTTTAAGCCTCTCACAAGTCCAAAATGTTGATGCATCTAATGATAGGAAACGGCACCGAAAAGGTGATTACTTTTTTAACACAATTTCGTAAACGAAAATTAGTGTTTGGGTCTAAATAGGGCATTTTTTTACTATTTGAGGCCTCAAAAATGTAGGGGATAAAAGGCGTAAAAAGTATGTATGAAGTAATGGCTTAAATAGAGGATATTTGTTTGTTTTGCATGTAAGATTGAAATATAATTTCACTGAGTGAGCACCAGATGCAATATTTTCACGAGTGGCGTAGCCACGAGTGAAAATATAATAGCTGGTGTTCACGAATGAAATATATTTCAATCTTATATGTAAAACAAATAAATTTTCTTTTTATTTGATGCTTTTTATGTGATTTTAAGTATTTTTTACTGATTTTGCCGCGTAACGTCGCGCATTCTCCTTCGTGACGTCATCACATCATGACGTCACATCATCAATTTTGAAATATAGTTCTGTTAAATTTCTCTAATTTTGCTTCATTTTAACATGATGTATGGTGACATCGACTTTCTTTTCCTAAAGAAGCAAAATTTACGTTTGGCGGCACTTATTTCAGTCTGTTATTCCATTTAGTTTAATTTTCTTTTCATCCACATTCAGATATAGTCCGGCTACAGTGAAAATTATATTTTATAAATTTCACTAGTGGTTTATCAGAATATAATCATCTGATATATTACAATAAAACACTGGAAAGCATGAAATAAAGACTTATAAACAACAATGATTATATATAGTTGTATGATTGTGCTTGATGTAAGACACTAATTGCCTTACCTTAATTTTTCTTATTTCTTACTTACTTGCTTTTTTATTTGTTATGTCCCTGTTTAATGTTTATAAATATTTATAGAAATCGATGAATGTTTATCAACACCGTGCCAGAATGGTGGTGTTTGCTCTGACCTGCTGAATGACTATTCTTGTAAATGCCCAGATGGATTTTCTGGCAAAGACTGCCAAACTGGTAAGATGCAGCAGATATTTGATTTGTATCTTCAAAGGCTACACATGATAGCGATTCCACTCGTTGTTATATTGATTTACATGTCCCTGACAAAGTATCCACATATTTTGATAGATTAGTGATCGAATATTTCCTCTCAAAACACCTATCAGAAATTCACAAGTGCACTTCTATACCTATATGGTCAGTACCAATTTTAATGCCGTTTTTTACAGATGTTTAAATACAATGCTTGACATTTTCGATTACTGGTTGCTTATAAATGTATATTGATCATTTGCATTCAACGCATTACTCGACAATGTTTTTTCACAAAATATGATACTTTGTTAGACATAGATGAATGCTCATCCAATCCATGTAGAAATGGCGCATCGTGTATAAATGACGTCAACATGTATCGATGTAACTGCTCCGATGGTTATGAAGGGACACATTGTGAACAAAGTAAGAATAATAGCTATGTGAAATAATCATGTATCGTTAACCTGTATAAATTGTGCTATATTCACTGGATTTATCACATGCAAATTAACGACAAGACAAAAAAGTATCTGCTGTATATAAGTATGACTTACGCAAATGTATTGTCTTTCGATTAAATATTGGTACGGTTGAACAACATGAAATGAATTGAGCGGGTCATTGTAAAAGTAAATTGTTCTTGTATTTATACTTATAATCAAGCACACTCAGGATTTCCGCGCTACATGAGATCGCAAAACTAGTAAACACCACTAGAGTCAAATAAAATATTCATCTCAATCAATTTATTACGGGTTTTAATCAAGTTGTCGTTTTAGATATTAATACAAAAGTTAAATAAATTGTGTTGTATAATGTGTTTGTGGCGAGAACTGTAAAAGTATTTTAATTAATCGAGAGTTAACCGATTTCAAATATATAAATTACAGTCAAAGAATCACGAAAACTGTCTCTAATATTGTAAGTACGTTATCTTTACTCTAGTAAAAATATGTATTATTTCAAACTTACTCCACAGTACATTTCTTGGAATATCTGCTGTCATTTTACAAACAAATACGTTTAAAAAAAGACAAAAAAGACAAAATTAAGTAGCATTATATTTCCACAATTTATTCTTAGATATCGACGAATGTGCATCTGATCCCTGTGCAAATGGCGGAACATGTACAGATTTGGTGGCAAACTTCGAATGCGAATGTGTCAATGGATTTAAAGGAAAAACTTGCAGCATTGGTATTCATGATGCATTTTGTAAACCTTAAATAATTCTGAGCCAAATACTATTTGACAATATGATGTTTTAATTACCAAATTGAATATGTTAACATCAGTTTGCCATTTTTTATATAATTAGTTAAAATATACGATTGCACTAGTCACATAGAAAACAAAAACAACATTAAATTAGAATATTGAAAATACACTACAGTATCAAAATTGAGTAGCTATTTACGTCATTTTACTTAATATTAACAATATGGTTCTTTTTAAGTTTGTTAATTTTGATGTTCTTTATGGATTCTTTTTTCCCCTATTTTATAAATTTGGTAACATGAATCTTGATAACAAACAAGATACTTCTTTATCAAATGATTAAATTGTTGACAGAAATCAAGGAATGCCTTTCAAACCCTTGCAAAAACGGCGGTACATGTAATGATGTAGTCGGAGGATTTAGATGTACTTGCGCCGACGGGTACATGGGGAACAACTGCGAAATTGGTGAGTATCTTTAAATAATTTTATCTTACATAGATATCAAGTTTTATGTCTGCTATATTGCAACACATATATCAATAATATTGTTATATATGCTTTAACGTGTATTTGATTGTATGCCTGTTGGGTCCTGTTGCTCTCAAAACATGTTAAAAACGACATTAAATAAATCCTAATGAATAGATTACTGATATCAATATGAGGGTAAAAAATCAGAAGCCTAACAACTAGGCATAATCCCCTACGTACATTTTTAACATATCCAATGAAGTTATCTTGAAGTAATAGAAAGAGCATCGAAACACGACGCTATCTGATTTGTTTTAATCAGAATACAGGGTGTTTTGATGTTCTTTATTTGTTGTATCATAGGCACAAATAAAAACAGGTTACCAATCGTCACAAAAAGTAAACTCCAGGTAAAAATGAGCTGTCAACTAGCATGCTTCATTTTATCCCAACAAACAGTGCGTTAACTGCAGTGCGACGCACTGTACATGTGTATACGATCCAATTCACACATCTAATAACAAATTTTCAATAGAAAGGTTTCTAAACTATGATACAATTATTAAATATTTTGATTCGTTAACATAATGTTGGTGGCCTATGAACGAACAAGTATGTTAAAGTTTCAGCATAATATTTGTGGTCCGGCAAAACAGAGCATTATTTATTTTATTCATATAACAACATGCATTGCTGCTATTCGATGGTTTCGATTTTGATTTGATATACTGCATTTAATTATTTGTTACAATCTTACGTAAATAATCTTAATCCCAACATGTTTGACTTATTCAAGTTCTCTTATTTCTTAACAGATGTAAACGAATGTCAAAGCAGCCCTTGTAAAAATGGAGGAACATGTACGGATTTTATAAATAGTTTTGAATGTGTTTGTGTTCAAGGATATGGCGGAGCACTGTGTAATATAGGCGAGTCCATACGCTATGTTTTACTTAACAGATGAAATAAGCAAACGCCTTAATATTTTATTGCCATTATCTCTTCAATTAAAGTCGTTAAATCATTTACGAACACGTTCGATCCATTATAATCGTATCAGTAAAAAGAAAGAAAGCAACAACATTTTTTTTTGCAGAATAATGTTTTTTATTGCATTTCATCACTGAACATTTCTGTTCTGTAGAAATCGATGAGTGCCTATCGGCGCCATGCCAGAATGGTGGTGTTTGCAAGGATATGTTGAATGCATATTTGTGTAAATGCCCTGGTGGATTTTCCGGTAAAAACTGTCAAACTGGTAAGTATAAGTTAAAGGGTTAACCAGTAAATAGTGCTCTCAGTCAAACAAATATCTCTGCAGATTAACTTCAAGTATATCTGAGAAACTAATATTGCTTTGCTATCAATTTGACTGTATGCATAGATACAGAGATACAAATCGTTCTGAATATTTCTTCTATCAAGTCTAATAACTTTCATCTAAATAGCATCTAAATACAAAGATAGAAACACAAAAATCAAAGTTTTATGTGTGCAGGAAAAGAGAAGATTTTGTTATAAAGAGCTATCGTATGTACTGCAAGTTAATTGCCTATAAATTGTTGAACACTCCACATCCCTGAAAAAATTTAAAGAAGTGCAAACGAAATCCTGACATATATCTTTCTACATACATATAAAATGGATAGGCTAAGAAAAACACAAATATGTAGAACATATTAATTAATTAATTAATTAATTATGTTCTTCTGATTTACATTGTGGATTTTTTAAAACTTTTATCGCACTTTTATAGACTACTGTCTAAATCTATTATCTTTCATTCTACAATAATTCATTAAAAAAAGACTTATAACTTGTCCAAAGATGAATCTGTTAGGGCATTAATATGCAAAATCAAATTAACATTCCAAAAGTTACTCGTTAAACATCATAAAAACATTTGCCGATCAGTTTTATGTTGACTTATTTTCATTTGGAAATTTGATTGAATGCCATTTTTTTTTTCGAAAATAACGATTTTAACAAAACGAAATTTTATTTCGTTCATGGAAGTATTTCGTGGATAGAAATGCTTTTCAAAATGTATTTGATTTATAACTTTACTAACAGAAGTCAATGAATGCAACTCAAATCCTTGTAAAAATGGTGCTACCTGTCTTGATGAAGTTAACGGATACAACTGCACATGCGCCGATGGACATACAGGAAGCAATTGCGAAATTGGTAAGACAAAAAGCGTTATTTCACTACGAATATCAAAGAAGTCATTCAATGCAGATACAACCTAGCTACTAAGCCATTAATTTAAAATTCATTGTATTACTTAGAGACATTTTGTCAAACATTTAAGTTATCTTAAATCTTTTTCTTAACATGCATCTTTTTCGTTATAGGTAAACTTAAAATGGTGTCATTCTTATAAAAATGATCAGCAGTTGCTACACATTTATTTCTATTTAAAGCATAAAACAATTTGTAGAATATACTGGAAACGTACTCAATAGTATACCCTCATTCAACTTATATTTTTATTGCCATTATAGATGCATGTTCTGCCGATCCATGTAAGAATAGAGGCACTTGCGTATTAGACGAAAAAAACTACACATGCTTGTGTGCTGTTGGATATGATGGACACAATTGTGAAAACGGTAAAAATTATATAGCACTTTATTGCATCTTTCATACTTAAGACGTCGCCCGTCAAAGGTGATTGCATTGTGGCCGGTGAAAGTAGACTACTATATTTATATAGCATCGGAAATTTTTTTTATCAATCTTCTTTGCTTATTGTAATCAGCGATTACATTTACTTTATCACCCGAACGTTTTTGATGATTAACTCTTACTCCCTTGCTGATATAATAACTGGGTGCCAAACAACCAGTTCAAAAGATGGAGGAATATGTAAGAATTTCAAGGTTTAAATTGTTTTCAAACCTTATGTGCATCTCAGTTGTAAAGCGAAGCTCTATGTAACAGTGATACTTTTGCAAATTTTAGATAACAATAGAAAGAATCTAGACTTTGTTTTACTCTTTTATTAGCACTTCTAAATACATTGCAATTGTTATTATTGTTGTTTAAAATAACTGACAGATATTAACGAATGTAGCACCATTCCATGCAAAAATGGGGCCACATGCAAAGATGATGTCAACGGATTTCAATGTGCATGCGCCGACGGATATACGGGAACCAACTGTGAAATAGGTAGGAGAAATAACGTTATCGTTTGTTAATGCCTTTACTCAAGATACGTATTAGAACGGCTATATATGATATGTTCTGTTTAAATGACTATGAAATTTAATAAATTGCCCAGCGACTTTTTACGGGACAGTAATAGAACATGCACTTTGAATTGTGGAATACCGAGGTCAAGTCTTCCCAATGACATTGCTATTTTTAGCCCGAAAGTAGACAAATATGTCCTTTATGTACCCAGGATCCAATAAGTACATTTGCGGGACGTTCAAAACCTTGTGACCAAAATATTGGCATACATAAACGGTGTAAAAAGCTCGTAACCCGAATCAAAAACTTCATGGATAGAAATGTTATGAAGAATAGAATAAAAGCTAAAATACAAAGTATCTTTCTTTCTTTTTAAAAAAAGTACGTTTGATATAGGCATTTCAATAAACAATCATAATTACGAAAACATGACACAAACAAAACATTATCTAGATTGAATTTTCTAGATTGTGGAACACAATGCACCTAACCAGGTAATTTCCAGTTTTATATAGTTTAACAATTTACTACCGTTATTATATAACATATATTTTGTGTTTATTACTTTCAGGATTGGGGTTATAATTATAAACTAGTCTGTTATATCACCGCTTTAACATTTTGTGTATTTAACGTATAGTGTCCAGTGAAAATAAGATAATGCTATAAAACGAAATTATTGCCCAAGGTGTTCTCTAATACTAAAATTAAGTTTGAAATGGAAAAAATCATAGCAAAGTTGCGTATTCAGTTTAATTTCACATCACATGGTCAGAATAATATTTAGAATATCCTAAGATAGCCCTGATACTCATTTGAAGCTAGAAACAAAATTATTTAATACCCGACTCCAAACAAAGACAAATCATCATGTTATTTATTTCTAAACCGAGAAGATGTTTGTTCGGAATAAATAAAAAAGGCTTCTATAACTATATGCGAATGTCTTGTAGAATAGAAAAATGTATGGTTAGAAATATGTTCGCCGTCCATTTAGGGAACCTTACCTGTACCTGGAAAGTCAAATTACAATCAAAAGGAAAACAAGTGATAACAATTGAAGTCGTTAATGGTGCAAGTTAGGTTGTACCGCCTATGCTAGCTTTCTTTTGGTCAGCTTTCTATAAAGTAATTCAGTGGAAATAAGGTTGGCATATGAATAACATTGGTGGAAGCCACGTGTGCTGTAGTTATAAATATTATTTGTATGCCTTTTTTCTGAAAATATGTGAAAACAATCTTTATATCAAGTTGGTGAGATTATGTTTATTTGTTGAACTTAATTTGAAATAAAGAAATAAAAAAGGCGTTGTTATTATTGACAGATATCAATGAATGCAATAGTTATCCATGCAAACATGGCGGGTCATGTAAGGATTCAGTCAATGGTTACAAATGTCATTGTGCTCCCGGATATAACGGCGCTACTTGTGATAACGGTGAGTACACTTGATAAGGTATCATGTTTATAAATAGTTTTTGTAAGATAAATACATGATTCCTTGCAATAGAACCATACTGTTAAAAGATTGAAAGAATATAAAATATGTGTAATATTTTACTTTGACTATTGTAAGAATTTACTTCCTTGTCGGTCACCAAAGAACCCAGCTCTAATTATAGCACCATGTATAATAAGGTATGCATACACATGTTCATTTGCATGTGTACTAATGACTGCATTTAACCTATATTATGCAGTTCTCGTAATTAACATTTAATTATATTGCTGATTATAGAATGCAAACAAATGTTTATTTGGATAATATTTTATTTTATATATAAACATACATCATTTTATTGCATAAACGTTTCTACACAGTCTACAAAAGGGTTTGGCCAAAAGCGTTTGTAATATTATCACGGGCCATCTCCTGAAATAACATTTGTTATTGAGCATAGTTGTAAGAAGTCTAAAATGAAGTTGAGTATATATATTGGTCGCATATTGATTAATGACCAACTCTTTTATTTCTATCCTTTTTAAATGATAAACTATTGCTTATTTTTATACTATTGCTTATTTTGTAGTTGTCAAATCAACTTCTGAATCACCCGTCACAGATATTGTTCGAAAACAGTTTTTAATCGTATTTGAAGTGAGGTCAGCAGTAAATCTTACAGCTCCTACATTCAAAGAAGATATTAAACATCAGGTAAAAACAAGTTTTTAAAAATAATTACTTTTTAAGTAGGTAAATGGTGGCCCAGATGATTAATTATTTGCATTTCTTCAAAGGTATCATAGGGTCAACCCTACTCGGACGAAGGTCAGGTTCCCTAGTAGTTCCTGGAAGCAGATACAAAATTTGTGAAACTAAAACCTTCAAGCCTTTATCGAGTTAGAAAAATATGTTTTGACAACAAACTGATCTATCTAATTCTTATCTAACCGATGTTGTTTATGCCAGATGTGGCACCTCCGGACAGTCCCGAAAGAGATACATCGCCATCGTGGGTTATTTTTAAGAATGAGCACATGAGCACACTATTATACTGATCTAAGCTAATATAAAAAACTGTCTTGAACTATCACATGTTGCAAGTGAGGTTTTGATAATGTAAACCATGTTCCATATCTGAACCAGTAAAGCAATACATGCATGGATATAATAGATTGGTCAGATACATGCTTACAAATGTCAATGTTAATGTGATAGAGAAAAAATTCGAAAACTTACGAAGCCATCATTTGATTTAATCTTACATATTTTTAAGCTGAGTCAAATCTATAAGAGTGCTATGGGAGACAAATTTCAAAAGGTAGACATACTGGATGTAAGGTAAATAACTTTTGTTTCATATATCTTTGAAACGTTTTATAATACAATAGCAAAATTGAATCAATATGTTTTTACCTTATGAAGGAAATATCAAATTTTAGTCAAGTGGTTTACTTACTTAATTGATATAAGTAAAATGTAATGTATAGTATTCCTGTATAAGCGATATGTCTATAGTAAATATGACAAATAATATATTCATCTTTCTTAGGCAAGGAAGTATTATTGTTGATTTCGAAGTGAGCTATTTTAATGACTTATCATCTGTCAATGATTTGACTGAAGCAAATCTAAATCTATTGAGGGGAGAAAAGATAATCAGAGTATTTAACGAGACCGTTAAAGCAACATCTGTATCAACTGGGAACGTCACCGGTGAGTTATAAACATTGTATACATTGCTACTTTTTGATCTGTGTTTAAAATGTATATAAAAATTGAAGCAAGCAGATTTCTTGTTTTTTGTTTTTGTTTGTTTTTTGTTTGTTTGTTTGTTTTTGTTTTGTTTTTTAAATTCATTTACATAAAGGTTTAACTAAGTCAAATAAAGATCCAGTAAAGTAATTATATGTCTTTTGTGATTAGTCATTTAGCACCAATGACCTACTCACGAAGTTCCTCTGACGCCGAGTTTGCTATGTATGTTTATGCTCTAATACTAAAAGAGAAATTATTCATTTATTCAACGTTTTTTATTCAGCTGGTTTTTATACTACTTTTGTACCCACAATGACTGTCTTTGCAAAATAAAGTTTGACACATCTTTTGTTTTAATTGTGTCTTACAGTTACGAATGCAACACTGCAAGACAATAAAAATATGTGTGCGTTTTTCACAGTCTTAAATGGAAAATGCGAAGCAAGTCTCAGATGCTTTATTACGGAAGGAAGACCTGCATGTGTGTAAGTTTCCATTGATACATTTGAACAACATTTTACGAACTGTAATTACTGTGTGTGTCCTATTTAATCAGACTTTTTTTAAATCATCAATTGGTTATTTTTATTTTATTCTTAAGCGAAAGGTTATGGTGTGCCCTTCCAGTTGTTCGTACGTCATTGTTACTATCCCTTTCCGATTATTAGCAGAAGGAATAAGCCTGAGTAAAGAAAACTTAGTAGGGATATAACGGATAGCCAGAGTATGCTATTGATTTGGAGGTAGTTAGGTCAAAAATTTAAATCACAGTATTTTATTTTGTAAAAGGTCTGTTTGACTGTCAAATCTGTGCAAAATACTCGTCGATAAGAGCATTGCCCATTGCAATTTTACAAATGCATATTTGTCGTTTAATTTTCTCTCCCCTCCCTTTTTGCTATATTTTAAAAGGTTCATGCATATGTAAAACTAATGAATAATTTTTCAGGTCAGATCCCAACGACGAAGATGACAATGGTAAGATGTTAATCAATCTGATTGAAAACTAATCTTTTTTTTATCATTGTTAGGTCAAATTGTATGATAGTTTAGCTGCAAATATAAATACTTTCTGTTTTCAATTGATAATATATCACTAATCACGTTATCACTTTGCTTATAAAATACAAAAAAAAATAAATGCAAATTAATGTGTTTAAGGACATATAAATACCGATTATTACCGATTCTAAAATTATTTGTTCATTAATTTTATATTGTTTTAATAACACTATGCACGTATGTGCAATAGATCTTTAAATTAAAGATATTGGTACTTTTTTGTATTTTGATTTTCATTTGTACAATAGGCATGATGTATTTTTCACTCTTTAGATGACCTGACTCTGGTAATCGTGGCTGTTGTTTGCTCTGTAGTAGTTCTCGTCATAATTGTTGTGGCAACTGTATGTATAGCTTATCATATTATACACAAAAGAAAAAAGCTACGCAAGACAAAAGGCAAATTCTCCGTGAGGTAATTACTATTTATTGGCATACTCTTGTGTTTTGAATTGATTGGCAAAGATGAGTATATTAATAAACTATAAACTTCCATAGTTTTTATTATTTTCTGATAGTTTCTATTATGATTGATTTATCTCATTCATTCATTCGTTTTCTTTTATATTTGAAATCAAACTAACTTACAATTACAAACATGATATATCATAATTGTGTGTCAATTGTTGTAACAATACGTAAGTCAGTCTTTCAAGTACATTGTACGTTAGTATGTTTCATAATCAATATATTTGCACTTCAGTTGACGATAAGTTATGAGTATAACATATATCAAAGACTATTTATAATTATATATGATTATAATTTTGTAGAAAAGAGGAGAAAGAGAAAAGTAAAAGTCCGAAACATATTGGATTTTATGAAAGCAGTTTTATGAATGGATCGTTTAAATCGGTGTCAGATTTTCTGGAGTACAACAATACCGCTTTGCCAGACGAACACACAGATTGACAATACACAGCTGAAATGTAAACTCAACAACAGTCTGAGGAAATAGAGATGCAATCGTGCAAAACAACATAAACTTCTGTGGTGTAATGTAAATCAAGTATATATATGACCAATAAACAGATAAATGTATTTTGAATATGTTGACTGATATGCAATTGTTTTTTGCAGCAAAGAAATACTATATAATGAAAAAATCATTAGAAACCTCGAACATTTTCGATTTTTTTAAATCTTTTTGATTAACATGCTGCATTGAAGGCGATTATGCCTCAGAAATTCATGTTGTCATAGCATGTCAAGTGTTAAAGAACTGTCCTTATTAGTCGTAAAATGTAAACAAAGTACTTTGACTTCCACACAAAACACTAACTTACTATTATTTAACGAATTGCCCACAGCTCCCATGAAGCAAAAGTTCATATGGAAAGTGAGACAAGTTTGGAAACTGCAACAAGACCAAAAATAAACATGTCTGAAAAAATGATAGCATTTCTGTGGTATAATTGGCCTTTAATCATACTGTAAATAGATGATGTTATTTAACATGTAAACGATGTAAATAATTATGTATTGGCCTTTAATCATACTGTAAATAGATGATGTTATCAAACATGGAAAAAATGTATATAATAATTCATTTGTATATTTGTACGACGAGATGTTGGTGCAAGTGGACGAATCACAGAAGTAATTATGAGCTATCGATTTATGTGTTATGTGTACCATTGCTTGTACATGGAACGAGAATTTAACAATTTTGTATAAGATCAATTTATGGTATTAACACGGTAAAATGATACAAATTTTATTTAGATAATTTTGAAAATATATATGTTTTTATATCAATACTAATATTAATACATTGTATGTACTAATTCGTTTTTTTTTCACTTAATAATTTTCACTGTTTGAAATTGTATAATTAAATAAGTTGGGTCATGTATCTGTAAATAACCTATATATATAAATACTGTCATTCTAACATTGCATCATAGTGAACATGACACAAGTATAACATCGATAATGTTTATTTACAATATGTGTAAACTAGAAAAAAAAATCCTCAATTATTTGCCATGGCAAAATGCCGAAATGCCATGGCAAAACACACTTTGCCATGGCAAATGCAAACTTTAAATGCTTTTTTTACAAAAAAGTATTAAAGATAGAAAAACAAAACATATTAACTTTTAAACCTTTTAGTAAATATGACAATTAAAGATAGTTTTCATTTTTTTAAAGCGCGTAAAAATAGGGGTTGAATTTGCCAAAAACTGGCGCGGCAAAAAGAAACCGGCAGCTATTCTACAATATTTCTAACGCCAATAAAAAAAATTGAATTGAACGATGATTTCAAAACTAGATACAGGCACTCCTTGTAAAATGAATTGTGAAATACACGTTATAGCATGAACAATAATTAGGTCACAACATTAGTATAAGTATTATTAACACAAACAATATTTTTCTTTTTTTATAATCATGATTGATAAAATAAAGCATGTTTTGCCCTCTCTAAAACCTTTCATATATTGGTATATTTTCTGAAGATCCCTGCATAAATGCCAATAACGATCAACAAAGCGATGCGCCGTGTTCACAATACCCTACACATTCTTACCTTAAAGTAAAATTATGTGACAAGACGATCATTTCAAATGTGGCAGTAAAACTATTAAAAGACAATCGGACCAAAATGAAGATGCCCGTCGACTGTAACAAAATGGTTAACGTTTTGTTGGTATAATAGTATTTGCTGAAAATCACAATGATATTTACAGCATGCATCACGTAGGTATTTTGCGACCTTTATTCATTGTTCAACATTATGTGCTGTATATACAGCAAGGGAATATGGTGATTAGATCAGAAAATTGTATGCCTTTTTTACAAAACAAAAACCTGACCTAGTAGATGTTAAAAAGAGAACCTATATAAAAATGGCAACAACCTTGATGACCAAATATGGTCAAATTCACGACACATGATTTAATACTTTTGTGTTAAAGAGAATTTTTAAGTTAATGAATTATTTAAACAACACGCTTGAAAATCATGCATGCTGGGTCAGGTTTTGTTTGTTTATAAAAGTCCTTTACATTGCAAGAGCTATCGCCCTCGCCCGCTAGCACTAACTTTGGCAATATTTATCCTTTTACTTTAAATGATAACAAGAAATATTAGTAAATGTGTTTCCATAGAGGTGATTATAGAACTGTCAATGTTATGCTGAAAACCATTCCATGAAAAGCGACATATGATCCACGAGTTAAAAGATACGTTTGCTCTCAACACGAAAATTATTGGTGTTAAATGGATTTGACTTATCATAGGATTGGAGCTGTACCTCTAGACCCTTGCAGAATTCAAAAATAAACAAATATTGTGTTGTTTTTTGTTGTTGTTCTTTTGCAGCGGTGGAGGGCAATTTCTTCATTTTTCATCCATAATCATAAATAGATCGGTATGAAAATTTGAAATAGTTCATTATGTTGGGTAAAAACGCAAGAATTTAGCATTAAAACATTCAAGCGCATTGTCCGGTATATACCGGAATACGGTATTTAGTGTGGTGTTCCAATCCTTTTTTCAATCTCCTTCGAATTATTATATGGGATTGGAGAATATGAAGCCTGTATATGACAAGCTGTCAAATGAGACATGTAAGCGAAAACAACATTTCTACAGTATGATAGAACAAAGACTGGAATGTGTTTTCATTTGATGAGAGCGTTTGCAAAACATTTATTCAGTGTAAAATACATTTGTTCTTTGTTCGGGATAAATTCTGCTTCGAAGATTTCTCACGCATCACGTCTGCTAATTAAATCCAGATGTCTCTGTGTGTTCAGAATTCAACGTGACACCGTTATCGTAAATGGTTAAAACATGTTTAAAGAGTCATTCCATTTGGAGAATGATAAACAAAACGTGGAAATCGAATACTCCATTCCAAGCTGTCTTTGAGATATAAAAGAAATATGCAATATTTTACGTCCCGTTTAACAATACCAAGCTAAATCATTCCTGCAATATATTTTAAGCTGAATTATGTTTCTCCATATCTTAAAGCTGATGCTCAAATGACAATTTATCAACATTGTATGTAAGTTTCAAAAATCATTACTTGTATGGTATTACCGAAATTAATACTTCGTGTAAATAAAGGGAGGTATTGTTCTTTGTTTTTTTATACAGTCTAAGCCAGTTGGGTTTACTTTCAATAGAACATAATTACATTAATTTCAATGTTTAATTATACTGTATATAAAATCATTTTTTTGTACATATTCAACATGTTCTTGGATGTTTGGAAATTGTTTTAGAAGAATAATTTTATACGTAAATATTATATAAAATTTCACTTTATGGTTTGTAACATCTTTAATTACAACATACAGGATATTTGATTTTACATTGCGGAATATGAAAAAGACGTTATACCGAATAATATGAAGCGAGTAACGATACATCTTCAAATAAAAATTGTAATAAAAGTCAATTCCCAGGGCTCAGTAGATTTATATAAATGTCACTATATTAGTGAAGATGTTGATCTAAAAATAACTAATAAATACAACTTCAATCAATGCTTTTATTATTTTAGAAGCCCCTAGCCAAATTTAAATAGCATACTGATTAAATATTGATCATTGTTATAAAGAACGACTCTTTGATCTCTTTTATTTAGTTTGAATTATTTGTATAAGATATTTTATATGAGTTTGATTTAATTAACGATACTTGTTTGTTTAGGTATGTTTCCGGCGTAAAATCTTTTTTCGGCACTGTCGTTGCATGTCGTTGACATTACTGAAGCTTCCAGCCTTTTTTGTGTGCGACATGGAAAGCTAGAACTATTTAAAAAAAAACATTCTAAGGGGAAAAAGACTCCAACAGCCCGAAACAAAAATGAAAATAATGCTAACGTTTTGTTTATAAATTGTTAAAGTATTATCGCTTGTGGATTTTTACCCTTTTGGGATAACCCTCAACGATTAAAAAATGAACGTCTTGGTAACGTATAGGTAAAAGAAACGTTCAAGAATGCAGTAGAAGAGACGATCGTATTTTCAAGACGTGGTTATCGTTCCGCGGCTATTTGAGGAAGCTTCTGTCACACTGAATCGCAAAACCTCGCGAGGTTTTTGAGAAACAAATTCAAGCCCCATTTTGCAAATTTTTGGCGACAAAGCTCAATCAGGGTTTCGAGTCCTTATATCAACGACTTGAATGCGTATGTCGCCCAAGTGTTGCACGAATGCCGCACGCATTTCCTGCAAATTATCTCATAAAGTTTTCAAACATATCGCGAAATTATCTCACAACTATCGCACGAGACATTTTTTGTCATCTGTTTTGCATGTTTGCGAATGTTTGTACTTACAAAATACGATCGAATGTTATGCGAACATTGCAAGAAAATTATAAAAGCAATAAAGAAATGAGAAAAGTCAGGCAAAATTAAAAGGAATCTCGACTTTCAGCGGCCAAAAATCATTGGAGATGGATGAATCATTGCATGAGGACCATATTCGGTTGCAGGCGACAATGCCATGCTATAAGCTGATGCAGTCTTAAAAGCTACGACAAAAGGCAGTACGCAAATAAAATGGATAAGAAATGAAGGAGTGAATCGGTGAAAAATTGATGTGACTTTGGTATTGGATGTACTAGAAGCTAATGAGGCATCTTAGATATAGTGATGAAACTATTTTCAAGAACTTTGTTAGACTTGACCCGGATTAATTAAAAGATAGAAGATGTATGCCCTAGAACTCAAAAGAGAGAAACAAATTTCAAATCAATTGAAGTTACCTTACCACTGGTCGTACGTGAACGTGATGGCAAGGACAGTTGAAGTTTGTTGCTCTCTTTTGGTGTTTGGGTGGAAAATCTTTTGACCATTATGCTGAATGATTCCGGGTTGACTGTAAGACATTTCATTAGCTTCTCGTTCATTCAATACTTAGGTTCCATCAAAAGTCATCCCCTCGCCCTTTCACTCCTACATTTGTTGATCTTTTTTTAATTTTTGTCGTGGCATTTTGACCACAGTAGCAGCAATGACACATGTCTTCAGCATGACATTTTAATCTGCAACCAAATTAGCGTTCTTATCCAATGGTTGATCCATCTCATCTGAATTATGTCTGACCGTTTAAATTCGAGTTTGCTTTCATTTTGACTTACTTCTCTCATTTCAGTATTGCATTTTATAACTGTCGGGCGATTGTTGCATAGAATTTGCGCGTATTTCGCAAACATGATGCTATATTTCAAAATGCCTCGTGCAATATTCTCGCGACATATAGGAGAACTTTATGAGATATTTCGCAGGAAATGAATGCGACATTCGCGCAACATTTGGACGACATACGCATTTATGTCTTTGATATAAGGACGCGAAACCTTGATCGAGTTTTGTCGCTAAATTTGCAAAAATTTGGCTATAAGTTGTGTCTTAAACAACTCGCGAGGTATCGTAATTTAGTGTGAGAGCACATTGAAGTAGAATATGGTGATGCCACAGTGATCGTCTGGAAAAAGTTACTTACAGTTCAAACCTGATTATGTAAATATGGATTTATGTTATATTTAAAGACGTTTGGTAGTCTCAATTATATTTGAACCCTTTATGAAACTTTATTGTAACTGTAACTGTATTGGAATAAAATACTTAAATACTTTAAAAGTTTCGCTTTCGTGATTATGTAAGCCAACCAATCTGGGGTTTTTTATCTAAAAGATTTGAATGACTAAATAGTTATCAAAATGTACAATGCCTGGCGTATTAGGAAAGTCGTGAGAAGAATTGATGATCTTTGGAGCATTTTCAATAATTGACACATTCGTAAAATGACCTTTAGAGCATTTTTAAAAAATGCTGTCAGTGAAATCTTACGATGAAGACATATTGTAAGTATAATTACAAATAATGTATTATAATTAAAAAATGGAATGTAGACTATGTTATAATTTAGTCAAAGATTAGTCGTCAATAAACGGTGTTGGCGTCAATCAACGAAGCACAGTAAAACTAAATGGACAACGAAAAATTAAGAAATCGATGTTAAAAAGATGAAACAGTGCTAAATTATATTATAACTGATGGAAATGTGCAGGCAACATGCTTAAGAAAAAACGAAATAAAATGACCGTAGATTATGATTTCTATTAAAGTCGTATACAACATGTTTTTTTTCCAGATCTTTTGGTTTGCCTGATGCTAATCGATGTACCTCTTGTATGTGAGTATACCTTTAACACGCGCACAAGAAATGCAAACAAAGCAATCTGACTTAAAATAAAACATCTTACTTGTTAAAATGTAACAGCTTCAAAATATAATAGAGAGAATCAGAATCCTTAAAAAACCCAACACGGCAAGATTGAAATTGTTGCTGGCTCCGTTTGATTTTGCCTTTTCATGAACGGTACAGGAAATGGCAAGTAACCGTCTATGCCCCCTAGCACCGGCTTAAGCAGAATTCAACATTGAGTACGAAAATGGTGAACTTATGAATTGAGATACATCTGCAAAGGGGTTCATACGGCGGTTATCACTGTAGTGCTATTCCATGAAAAAGCGGCGAATGGTCCCCAAGTAAAAGAATGCGTGTGCCCTAAATAAGTCATGTACTATTTAGCGCGTTGATTTCACTAGCGTCATACGAAACGTGATATGTCCTTTATAAAATTATACGAGGAAAAAATCATACGCATCAAACAAAAGTAAAAACTTTCTTGCATATCATACAGAATTATCGCCTGTTTACGCCGGTGCTAGAAAAAGCTTACTGACATCTCCCGTGTAATGTAAAAAAGTCGCGTGCCTTAAATGGCGTCATTCCCGCGCGCCTTTTATGAATGAATTGCGTTCTTAGATTGGCGTCATTTTGCCGTTATGAATTTAGTTGAAAATTCAAACTCTACTAAAAGAAGAAAAAAGTACTACATTTACATATAGTTTTGGTAATTTATTACCGAAATATGATTTCTATGTCATATGCAAGTAAAGCAGAGTCTGTTACCATGGAGCTAGGTATTCCGGTCTGTACCAGTATCCGGAGTAAGATCCTTATAGTCTTACACACCAACCGTGTAAGACAAGTCGCGTGTTCGAAATGACGTCATTTCCACGCGCCTTTTTTAAATAAATTCGGTTTTTAGGATGAGATAATTTTCCCGTTGATTGAAGATGTAAAAAATAGATATGCTGTTATAAAACAAAAATATGGTTAAGGATTTTTTTTTCGTTATTTCTTTTCGAAACACGATTAATGTGATATGCAAAAAGAACACCGGTCGTCATTACAGTCGGGAATATCCTATCTATCTTACCTGGCTCCCGGGGAAATGTTTAGCGGTAACTCTACAGAGCCTCTTTACCGCCATAAACATTAACCCTTTGAAAATGACCATTTTACACAGATTCATTAAAAAGGCCACTAGTTTGGTTTCTTTATTATATAGCAAATATCGGTTGGCTAAGTTGGAAATGACAAACCATCAATGCATTTTATTTTAAGGTGGTTTGGAATGTTTAAGTTGTTTAAACATTGAGGATGCTGATAACTGCAACAGAACCACATTTTGTCGAGACGGACAGGTAAGACTGTTGTTGATTTTTCGGACGAAGTCCGTCTGTTACCGGTATGACTTCCTATAAAATTAACATTGAAGGACTGAATATGGGAATAATTTTCATTGGTCATTTTAAAATAACAAACTTTAGTCGGTGAATCTCATTGGTCACTCTAAAATAAAATGTAAAGGATAGTAAAATAAATTTTTAAGGATAACTCTAAGATAGAATGTAATGGATAGTTTTGACACTATAAAATAAAATGTAAAGAACACTTCAAGAATGAAATGTACAGGGATGAGTTCTTTAACGTTTATGTTAAGTTGTAAATGATTACAAAATTTATAAAGTCAAATGAAAAAAAACAAGTTAAAGGGAAGTTTGTCCTACCTTGAAGAATCATCAATATAAATATGCTATAATTTATTTTCAATGTTTACAAAGTTTCTTAGCTCCAAGAAGAGATTATTATGTCATTATTATGCAAGCATTGCTAACATTTCTTTTTGTACATAATTGTGTATGTTAACCAGTTTTACTTTGGCCGAGTATCTTTTAAAATATATTTTCTTTTTACGTGTTTTAGTTTCTATTTCCTTTTGTTGAGATAATGTTTTACAATCTATAGTAAATCTAGTCATCGAATAAAAACATAAGTATATAAATGCTCCATGCTGGCATAGGCAATCTTTGAAGCTATTTATAATGTACATGGTCGTGCAATATTGTATTGAACTTTTCAATAGAGAATAAAACGCCTTTAACACTTAATACAATTTTTTTTTTATACAAAAGCTGCTTCATGCTTGTTTGTTTGTTTGTTTGTTTTTGTATAGTTTTTTCTCAAAATATTGACATTATAGGTAATATATGAAACTACTGACAAACTTTGCTCATTATATAGAAAGGATTTTACTGAGAACCTCATTATTAGCAATACAATTTAGATTATGTATTGTTGATACCTTATTACATTGTGTACACTTGTATCATTTTAATTCTTGTCGTGTTATATGGATATCAAGCACACAGCAGGATCAACAAGTTTTAGTTTGGGATGTAAAGATAATCAGGTATTTAGATTTGTTAATCTATTCAATCAATTATGATTACAAATTTAATTATAGCTCTACCAAAAGCATACTAACAGAATGAAAAAAAGTATAAAAAATATGGATTTGTCGTTATTAAAGATGCATTCATCTGATTTTAACTTACTGTTAGAAGCAGTGTTGACATTAATGGTTTCTCACTTTATCCGAGCAGACAATAACATAAAGCAGTCATTGCTGGTTCGAATCTCTTCAGGGACTAGCTGTCCTTTCATTTTAGATATATATCAAGCTATCTTCTGTTCTACCCATTTTAGCTTGAGATGATACAAGGAGGAAACCCAGAGGTCATCCCCCTTCACAAGTAAATCTCAGCAGTCGCTGGGAAAAACCTCAACAGTGTGTTGGTGCGACATAAAAAAGAAAAACAAAAAAAACTAGTAAACAAAAAAGAAAGAAAGAAAGAAGGAGAGAAAAGAAAGAAAAAAAAGAAAGAAAGAAAGAAAGAGAAAGAAAGAATTTAAACATAAAAATACAAATGTTTTGAACTAGGTATGTATTTTGAATACAAATACACTTTATATGCAGATGTGTGGAAAACCGTCATACAGCGCTGGTGAACTTATAATAGGGAGGGATTTGAACAAACGTGAAACAAACGAATGTGCCGAATGCTGCGGTATCAATAACTGTAACAAAAACCTGTGTACACATTCTAAACGTACGTATCGCATGGTCCTATTTTGATTATATCCTTTAAGTAATGGTATTAAGCTTTCACTTGTAGAAGTAACTATTCGTATAGGAAACAAAGTTGTTCTTAACCATAATAAGATTGTCTCTAAAGATTTATATATCTATTTTTTTTAACTGGTAATGTTTTATAATATAGACAATATAGACAATCTTATACGAAAACTGAATCAGTCGTGTAAAGCTATCTCACTGATTTACAATAACAACGGCATGCATCCATACCATTATTTCCAGACAATGCATAAATAGATCAAAGATAACAAATGCGACGTGCAGCATTGTATCGCAAATGAACGGGTTAACTGTCAAAACAAAGAAGTTTTACAATAATAAGAGTTTATTGCACTTCACTTATATCATCATTGAAAAGATAAAAAATATTCGGTCAAAATAAAGAGTTTACTTCTAGTTTTCAGTGTTCTCAAGTGCCAAAGTATTTCAATTTTAAGTATTTATATAGCATAAATTTTACGTGTCAGATGGGCACAATTGCGGTTGGCTTACTATTTTTTCTGATATGAGAGAATAATCAGCCTTGTGCGAATCAATTATATTATTCGACTTCCAAGAGAAACCAAATAAAAAAAATATCACAAAGGTATAATTCAAAATATCATTAAGTAAGAGTGTCATTTGCTTGGTAAAATAATTTACAAAAGATTAAAACGGACAAGTTGCTAAGGGCGTTAACTTTGAACCACTTCCGCCGCATCGCTTTGGGTACGAATCACGGCAGAGTCTTTCAATTATTTCATGTGAGGAAACTATCCAGCTAGCTTTTGAAACGTCTACTCGGGTGCCCTTTCGTGCCTGAAAAATAATGGACGGAAGGGCACCTGTGGCCTTCCTCCGCCAGTAAAGCTGGAACGTCGCAATGTGAACTATACTGTGTCGGTATGACTCTATACCTAATAAAACAAACAAACATAAAAACAAGTAAAAAGTACCGTTTACGTTATGTATATCTTTCCGTGTCTTTATCCTGGAAAGAAACACTGTTGTTTACGTTATAATTTCTAGCAATGACCTAGCACAAGAATACTCTATCGGGAAAACAGTCATCGAATTTATCAGAAGTCTGTTTACAATATACATGATAATATACATGATAACATGATTAATGTTTATCCTATAAGAGTCGAGGAATGTTACATTTGAACAATAACTGCTACGGGACTGGTTTGAACGTCTCAGGATGGATCCTAGTTAATATTAACCAATATCGTCAATGAATTTCTAAAATGTGCATAAATTAATTATTGTTTCAGCTTCAGCATGTATCGATGATTCAAAAACAGACTGTGCGTATCTAAATACACTCTTTAACATTTGTCAGGACATCCATCATGGAAAAACAGTCTGTGCAAAGTTTTGTAATTTATGTTCATTAGGTGAGTATATGTTTTAAATTAATGTTTAGGATGGTTTGAACATTTTAGCGAAAAATAATTTAAATTATTTAATCAAAACATTGCAAAGCTTTTGATCAAAGGCAGGATTAACTTATGTTTACTTATTTTAGTTATTCAGTTTGTCACTTGTATTTTTAATATACCTTCTGAAAAAAAAAATTCAGATATATGAATATATAAAGTTGCTGCCAAAACATAATGAAGGCTACTTAAAGAACCCCGCGTTAACATATATGAGACTATCAGACGTTTTTGTCTGGTTGTCTCTCTTTCTGTAAGTGCTTGCTCACTTAATCCACTCAACCAGTTCAAAACACTTCAAAGGAATAACTGTTCTAGAACTTGTGCGTTTCGTGACGGATTGGACCTTGATCATTAATTGACATTGACATGATTGAAATGGTTTAAATTATGAGTTGCAACTGTGTTATTTATAAAAGCAATAAAACTGTAAACGTTTATTTTTAAATTGCATTACAAGTGTATGACAGTCAAACTTAACTTTATTATAACATGAACTTAATGTCACTTTTTAAATACAGTTGACTCTCAATAAGTCAAAATCGGCTTACTCAAAATTCCGCATTAGTCTAAGAATTACTAAAGTCCCGTTAAATTTCCTTCTATATCTTTGTAATTTAACTCCGCTTAGGTAATATTTTGATTTACTGAGACTCCTGTTTAATCGAAAGGAATGTTTGGTCCCGTCAATTAAACTCAAGCATATTTTCATCTCAATTAGTTGAAGTCTGAAAAACAGCCGACTGATCAAAGGTCGGCGACATCAAGGTGAGATGTTGTCATTCTGGTTCACACGTTTCATAGTAATATTAATAATCGGTCATCGTATGTTTTTAAAACTTCGTTAAAGTGACTTTAGGAAAGTTGACACGTACCAGTCTGACAGGTGTTAGTCTTATAATAGCCTAAGTATTTATGTGTATTATCAATGGAAATGAAATTTGTATTATTAATGTTTCGTCATTTTACATACGCATACATAAATATTAACTTCCGGTTCACGACATTTGCTACTTTCGCTTTCGTCCGAGATTAATTCACGTCTCCAAGTATTAGACATACTGATGTTTAAATGAATGTGTTAGTGGTGCTTCTATAATAATGAATTTTCACGAGTGCTTATTGTAAACATGTGCCTAATATCATTACTGATGAATACTGACCAACTTGATTTGCATTTATGTCATTGCTACGAATGTATCTATGTTTAAAAATTAATTAATTTTAAATAATATCTTTCTGTTCATTTATAATTTGTAGTTGTAAGTGATTAATTGTTACATGTTGCAGCATTCCCGCTATCAACTATAACAAACCTACTACTTTGGACATGTACGAATAAACGTAATGGCGGCAGATCAACGTTACTTGAATTCCGTTTCTTTCGAAGTGAAATGCACAGTCCCTTGAAATTCGAGTTACCGAGAGTCAATTGTATACTTAAACTGCAATTTTTATAAAATTATATGGATAGATCGAATGCATGCTTGGTATTACGCCTATATATTTAGCAACTCAATCTGAACCTTAAATGACCTGGACATTGGTGCGTTTGCGTTAGTTTGTAATAACATAAAGGCTGACGATTTGTATACAGAATGACAACCTTTTACATTATACCTTTACAATTGTATTCAAGTATGACAGTTACCTCTTCAAAAACATTGACCCTTAAAGTCAAATTATTGATTTTCATTAAATTGACCTTTTTAATTGATTCGATTCATATTTGTACATAACAACATTAGACAAAATCATTTGAAGTAACTCAAGTATGAACAAGACGTTTAATTGTCCTTGACCCTCGAGGACAAGTAAAAAAATGTAATTCGAGTTCTATAAAAACTAGTAATTCATGTACACATATATTGATGTTTGTTGACATCAAAACAATTTGTCTCTGATTGATTTGTATTGTAAGGACTCAATATGAAATGTTTACAAACATTCAATCTAAATACGCGTTTTTATATTGACCTTTAAGTTGATGGCAATTGGGCGGAGTGGTCCTTGTGGTCAAATTGTAACGGCACGTGTGATAGAAGTATTCGCTTTAGAGAAAGAGCATGCTCAAATCCGGCACCTATTCATGGAGGACTGCACTGCACTGTGAATTCTAAAAAAAGGGAAACTTGCAGCATGCCTCTTTGCCCAGGTACTTTTGTTTGTATTTTCTTATAATTAGTTTTTTTGTGGTTTTACGTCACATCGACACAGTATAGGTCATATCGCGACGTTCAAGCTTTACTGGTGGAGGAAGACCTCAAATGCCCTTCCGTGCATTATTTCAGGCACGAACAGGCACCTGAATAGAACCACCGACGTTCCGTAAGCTAGCTGGATAGCTTCCTCACATGTACGAATCCAAAGTCCTGGTCGGGATTCGAACCCACAACGATGAGGGGCAAGTGGTTTGAAGTCAACAACCTTAACCACTCAGCCAACGACGCCCCTCTCTTATAATTGAGACATCATTGGAGAATTAACCTTTTCCCTTATATAAGCGTGTTTCGACGGCTTTTTGACCCCCCCCCCTTTTTGAGGCCTCAAACAGTGAAAAAATGTCCTATTTAGACCCCAAACACTGTTTTTCGTTTGAGAAATGTTGTTGATCAAAGTGACCATTTTTTCGGCGCCGTCCCCCATTCAAATAATACATCAGGGGGTTGCCAGAAGGGGGATGTGCCCCCTTCTGTTTGGGGGGTTTGAAAGGGGGTGGAGTCTCCCTCATCGCCAAGAAAATTTTGGACTTGTAAGAGGCTTAAAATGACCCCAGGTTGATCATAAGGTAACGTGTAACCACTGCTAATAGCCTTTGACTCCATCTCAATCCCTTGAGAAGTTGCAGCACTTTGAAATAAATTTTGATGGAAAAAATCGAGGTAAAAAAGTGGTTATGGCAATTTTGAGATGTCCCCTCGTTGCCATGGTAACAGGAAATTTAAGACTGAGCATGTCGTTACAAAGGCAATGGTCCAGTCAACATTTGTGCCAAGTTTGATTAGTATTGAAGCATTTTTCATAGTTTCATAGCAGTTTGAACTTGTAAGAGGAGGCTTTTCAGTGAAAATGGCCATTTTTCACAATATGCTCATGGGGGAAAGGGTTAAAGAAAGATGCACCACAATACTATATTAGACTCTTTTGAAAACGAACAGTTTTATTTAAATGTCCCAAATTCTTAATAAATCTGACTAACTGTTATTGTACATAATCTCTTTTAGATAAAAGATACAAATTATTGCTATGTGAAGCAAGTTTGTGAAGGAACAACCTCATATTAGGGTACAGGCACTAAAACTCTCACTAGCTCCGAATCGATCTTAAATATTAAAGGAAAACGAACAAAAAATGAACAGATCATGTATGTAAATATCTTCCATATAATTGATGGGTTGCTTGGTTTCAAATCGTTCTCTTGGAGTCACTCGCCGTCACTGCTGTGACTTAAATTCCTTTTCGGGACTTTTGCCTCTTTCGTGCGACGACGCTATGAAGCTATCTGAATTTATGATGAGCGTCCGGGGCACCTGTGGTCTTTCTCCAGCAGTTAAGCTGTATGACTCTAAAACAGTGTGGTAGTAGCCTAAACCGCCCTTTCACCCACATCCACCGATTAAATCTTAAACTCAAGTAAAAACAAGTATGCTCAAATATCTTCACTCAACTTTTTTGTTTACATGGCAATGAATCAGCCAAATCATAACACTATTGTACTACGTATAGCCTTGTTTTCGTCCCAAATTAAAAAAATCATATCAAACCCTTATTTTACTCGGAGCTATGTCAATGTCAAAATATAAGTGTCAAAGTTGGCATAATACTTTATTTAAGTCCGGTTTGTATTAAGCACAATTTCGACACTATCGCCTTGTCTAATATAGGTTTGATTATTGTGTACTCGTTCAATATAATTTAATATTGTACTCAGCAATCTATAATGATCATAACATATTGTACATAGTGCTCGAACCAGCTATTTGCGTTGTGTGTTTCCTTCAGTTAATGGAGATTGGAGTACATGACATCAGTGGGAGCCTTGTTCAGATACGTATGACTTAGGAATACACCCATAAACACTTTCAATATGATCTAGGTAAATAACCGAGGTATATCGAGTGAAAAATACGAGTTGCTTCCCTTATCTTCGAGATAAATCGATACCGCTTATGTTAAAACAATATAAAATAGGCATTTTTTAAACCGCTATTTTGTTGTGATTAAATGTCCGATTTTAAAATGTATTACACCAATAGAAAGCTCTGGATCTTAGCTTCATCACAGTATAAACTTCAACACATCTTTTGACTCTAAAGTATTTAAAATTAACTGTTAAACCTACCATATGTCAGGCCATTTTACATACAATTTATACAGTGAGATACACAATCCGTTATCTTTACTCCAAATGCTACCTGATAAGAATAGCCTGTCGTTTGCTAGTTCTGAAAGTGTTTATCAATGTATTCAGCGCCGTCACCGGACCTGTTCAAATCCTTATCCAGAAAGATTTAGCGACCATTGCTTTGGAGATGGTTTGGATGTAAGGATATGTTTACCTGGCCCCTGTGCAAGTATGAAGAATAACAATACTACTTTCTTTTCGTCGTTAATTTATTAATATGTATTATGAATCCGCTGAATCGAGTTAAATATAAGTGTATGCAACCTTCACAACCCGGATCAGCATAAAAACCTATAAGTGGTTAATTTTACGACGTTAAACTATTTTCAATTTTTTTGCGAATCAAAATTATTCGAAACTAATTGAGCCCGCAAAAGTTACATCGACTTTATCTTCGGTGGTCATTCAACAGTTTACCATTACACGCTATGTAAATGCATCCCGTTAAAATAGCGTCGCACGAAATACAAGCATACATAAGCACGACTTAAAGATCATTTAATATTTCGCATGATGAAATAATAACTTGTCAAACTGAACATTTTTATTATATTTCTTTGAATACATCGAAACTTACAACGCTGGCTTGTCACACCAGTTAAAATTAGAGTATTGTTTAATTGTTATTACAAGCGTGCTAATATTACAGGAGCGTCGGAAATCGTACTTTACAACTATTTCCGCTCGCAAAAATTCCGGTTTTGGATATTCCCAAACTTTGTGTGACTTCCCTTTGTATTTTGCTATAAATTTCAGCTCTTTTCGGTCAGTGATTTAATTAGTTTGCGTGTATAAGAATGTATACTGGATACTGGATACATCTTTCTATTGAAAATAAATAAGTCTATTAGGGTTATACTTTAAAGATCCTGTATGATTTGGTATTGAGGTTGTATACCACTCTTACGTGAAATTATATATGTATATAATTATGCTAATACACCAATTTTCAAACATCGAACAATATGTAAAATATGTACTGCAAATATTTGTACATTTTAAATAATTATAATCATTAAATTATATGCATTAATTTCTTCTTGGAAAATTTGATTCAGGATATATAGAAAACAAATTTCTAATAACCTCCCTTTATTTGAATGAAATATTTGATTCGGTATCATCTTTATAAAAAAAATGCTTTTTGGAACATACGATATTGATTAATCTTAATTTTAGCATCATATTTTTTATATAAAACTATAACAGGATCTTTAAAATTTTCGAATGTTTTTCACTATTTTTTTAAATGATTACTGCGTATTTAATAACAACTTGCAGAAATCTGTGTTATTATTGCATTTTCCTTTCACTTTGTTTTTTCAACACGATGGTGGATGGTCGAATTGGGGCGTGTGGAGTTCGTGCAGTACAACAAGCGGTAGTGGAATAATTTCTCGAACAAGAGCGTGAAACAACCCAGTTCCATCTCTTAATGGAAAATCATGTGAAGGAGAAACGTTGATGGTCAGCTCACGTAATGCCAACCCTTGTTGTAAGTCAAAAGCATTTACAAAGAATATATGTATCTAAATAAAATTTATTTAAATATTTATCCTCAAAAAGCACTTTTCTAATGTTGGGTGCTAAATTTTACATACTCAAAGAAACAACTGTTTAAAAACACTAAATTATAAAACTTCATTTTTTTGACATCGATTCTCATCTTTAAAGCAGCATGCCTCCAAATTTAAGCTCTTTTTCGTGAAAATTTTGTCAATGTATTTGAATGTGTAATATTGTAAACTAAACAAAAGGAAACAATTTACACATTATCAATGGCATATCAAACCACGTAAATTTTCAAAAAGTGGTCAAAAATAGCCTTGACTGCGTTAGTAACAGCAGAGATATAGTTTTTAATACTGTAAAATTAGTCTTTTATCGCATATAAAAACAATTTTGTCAGACATTACTTAAATCTTAAATGTTTTGTTTTTCCTTACATCTAAGTACATTTTTCTCAAGTTTGTTTTATTGCAATATTTTGACTCATCTGGAGGCATGCAACTTTTAATATAAACATATTGCATTCACTTTTTTTATTTTTATATAATATTTTGATTAGCAAATCAGATTGTTTACACTAAAGTACTTTCTAATTTCGAGCTATTTGTTATTCATATTAAATACGTATTTTACAAATGTAGTAAACGCCAAAAAGAACGTCTCTACTACTAAAGTCTTCTTTTTAGACAATTATGTATAATATTTTTAAGCATTGAACAGAAATATATTGGACTTACTAGCTAGCATTGTTGTTAATGAGTAATAAATTCATCAAGTATTCATTTTTTAGCCGGTACGCCATCAGTCATTTCTCAAAGCAAAGATGTTACCACGTTGACATACTCTGATGGAGACAGACTTATTTTTGCCAAAACGATTTCAAATGACGGGAATGGTTATGGCAACGGAACCGGAATATTCACGGCACCTATTGCGGGGACCTAAATCATGAGAACGCATATTTGAGCAGAGCCAAATTTTCCTTTCGGGTTTGCTTTTGTATCTGACAATCAAGAAGTGCACAGAGACCTCGTTACCAAGATACCTGGTTACTCACATTGCGATACCTCTGACATTACATTACACCTCAGTAAAGGCAGTCAAGTGTATCTTAAATGCACGTGGGCGGGACGTTGTACCAAAGTGACCTTTATTTGAATACATTTTCTGGGAGTTTGTTACATCTCTGAAAATTAAGGTCTTCACTTCTTCCAGATTCTTGAATAGTATTAATATATTCTTATGTATAATATAATAAAAATGAGAAAAATAAAAGAAGATAAAAGTTAACTAGCACTAATTCGGGCTAATCACAATAAAACACTGAAATTGTTTATATATTATACTAAACATACAATAATTAATAACAGTTAAGTTGTAATTTGCAATCAATTGACATGTAAAATTTCACTCTCTGCCAAAAAGCAAAAGAAATTATGAAAATTTAATAAAAAGATGACTGTATCTATGACGTGTTTTTTATCTGACACGGATAAATTGATGGTGTTTGGAGATTACTATGGTAAGGAAAGCCATATGCTTTCTGTTCGTTGAAAACGTTTCACATCGCAGCTTCTACTTTTATGTACTTATTGAAATGCATATATGCGGCCATAAAAGGGGTAAATTCAAAAGTAAAGACGGTTAAACTGGTCTCTATCATTGGATTAAAGTTTAATCAAATGTTGTTGTTTTTTCTAATCCAATAGATAAGCACTGGATTTCTGAACAGGCAAATACTTCAAAATCTTTATATGCAAGATTCTTGTACAATTACAGTATTAGGAAATGCACTTGGCTTCTATGTGCCGTCATAATACAAGTTGAAGCTTTGCATCTTTAGTTTCATGAATGTAGCAAAACTATATAATCTGCAACAATTAATATTTAAGCTAAGACGAAATATTAAACTTCTCCTGAAAATAATGGTATGCCTTTAATCATTGGATAGGTCATCAGACCTCTCCGCAGTGTTCAGACTGATTGCTGGCGGCATCCATTTTTGGGTATCTGATTATAGTGAACGAATCTCATTTAACCCATTACTTCATGAGAATTTTTGTGAAAAATGGCTATTTTCATTGAAAAGTCTCCCGTTACAAGTTCAAATTGCTATAATACTATAAAAACAGCTTCAACACTAATCAAACTTGGCACAAATGTTGACTGGACCATTGCCCTTGCAACAACATGCTGCAACTTCTTAATGGTTTGAGATAGAGTCAAATGCTTTTCAGCGTTAGTTACACGTTACCTAATGATCAATCTGGGGTCATTTATAGCCTCTCACAAGTCCAAAATTTTCGTGGCGATGAGAGGGACTCCGCCCCCTTCAAACCCCCCAAACACAAGGGGGCACATCCCCCTTCTGGCAATCCCCTGATGTATCTTTTGGATGGGGGGCCGCGCCGAAAAAGTGGTCACTTTTTTAACAACATTTCTTAAACAAAAACAAGTGTTGGGGGCCCAAATAAGGATTTTTTTCACCATTTGAGACAACAAAAAGGGGGAGGGTTGAAAAAGGCATTAAAAGGCGTGTATATGGTTAACAGAAAATGATGAAAATATGTGAAATTACCCAAAATCGCGTTTTTCAATGTTTAAACATGGCCTGTCATACAAATTTGAAGAAAAATTGTAGTTTTGTAGCTTTTTTGAATTTTTTCATTAACCTATTACTGCATGAGCTTTTTGTGAAAAAATGGCTATTTTCATTGAATAGTCACGCGTTACAAGTTCAAATTGCTATAATACTATAAAAACTGCTTCAACACTAATCAAACCTGGCACAAATGTTGACTGGACCATTGCCCTTGCAACAACATCCTCGGGCTTAAATTTCCTGTTACCATGGCAACGAGGGGACATCTCAAAATTGCCAAAAATCACTATTTTGCGTTGATTTTTTCCATCAAAATTGATTTCAAAGTGCTGCAACTTCTCAAAGGATTGAGATAGAGTCATATGCTTTTCAGCGTTGGTTACACGTTACCTAATGATAAATCTGGGGTCATTTATAGGCTCTCACAAGTCCTAAATTTTCGTTGCGATGAGGGGGACTCCACCCCCTTCAATCCCCCCAAACAGAAGGGGGTACCTCCCCCTTATGGCAACTCCCTGATGTATCTTTTGGATGGGAGGGGGGCCGCGCCGAAAAAGTGGTCACTTTTTTAACAACATTTCTCAAACAAAAACAAGTGTTGGGGGCCCAAATAAGGCATTTTTCACCATTTGAGACAACAAAAAGGGGGGGGGGTTAAAAAGGCGTTAAAAGGCGTGTATATCGCGTAATGGGTTAAAGCCTAAAATCATTAGGTGCACTCTATAAAAATTGTTTTGCGCATGCTTCGTTTCAAAAAACGACTTAACTTAAACGGAAAATTAACTTCGAAGTAAACAAATCGGTACATAGAAAAATCGGGAAATATCATTTATGCAAAAATATCGCCAAATATTATCAAATTAAACAGCACCAAAAATACCTCTTGCATGCTTCTTTTTAAAGAAGCAAACTTGTAATGTCGAATTGAATTAATCAATCAAAAGAAAAAGCTCACAAATACATGTGAATGTGTCTTTTAAATTATAATAAGCAAGTTAAAAAGGGTTCGATCTTGATGGACAATAAATTATCACTGGGACTTTATAGAAGAAAAAAAATTCAAAACCAGTAGCTACGTTTTGTTTTGTCCCGCACGTTTTTTATACTTACATGCATATCTGCTGTTATAATACCAGTATCTAAGTAACTTCAAATCGAACACTTGCAAGATAATTAATAATTTACAAGAATTCATATTCAATGAAGCTAATATGTTTTGAAAAATCTGACAGAAGCTTAAAACTCTACCAAGGGCTCGGAATAAGAATTGCGTTGTATCGTACTATTTTTTAACTCTGAAACGAGTAGGGACGTCCGTGGCCGAGTGGTTATGGTTGTTGACTTCAAACCACTTGCACCTCACTGCTGCTGATTCGAATTTCGAGAGAATTTTTATTATTTCATGTGAGGAAGCTGAAATCATGCACGGAAGGATTTCCTCCACCAGTAAAGATTGAACGACGCCATATGACCTATACTGTGTTAGTGTGACGTAAAAGCCAATTTAAAAAAAATCAAACTGAAACGTGTATATAATTGATTTGAACGGTGTATAATTATAAAGCAACATGAATTGCTCAAATTCTTAAGCATGTTAAACATATATCTGGTTTTCAGTCATTTGCAACTAATAGAGTAATACACCAAAATATCCCTTTTTCATTCTAAGATGGTGACGTTTGTCTAAAAGTTGTACAATACGACGCAGTAATGATGCCAAGCCATGTAACTGTTGCCATTGTTATTATCTTTCTTAATTTGAAGAATATTGTTTATGGAAATGGCATAGCGCTTGCAAAAGTATAGGCACGAATATGAAGTAACTAAGAAACAATGTTGTTGTTTTTTGTTTCGTATTGTGTTTACCGAATTTATATATTTTTTATTATTTTTATCCGATCTTATTCTATATTATTTTCAGAAACGATGATATCTAAATACGGTAAAGACTTTTTCAAAATAAAACCATATTAAAACACCAAAATAAAAATAATTATAGTTTCAATAATGATTAAAATGTAAAAACGAAAATGCATGGACCTACACGGTTTCACTCTCATATTACTTAGCTCTTATAATATATGTAATTACAAACCCGGTCAATATCATGATTTTATTGACACAAATTAAATTTACACAAACCTTAGTTCTCACATTTCACTAACCTTTTCGAAAATATATAGAAAATTGATATAATGTGTGCATTGACCGTATAATCAACATGCAATCGAGATGTTAATAAAACCAAACTACACGGTACGCATTATACAAAGATTATAGGCTGAAAGGAATTACTTTTAATCATTAATTATTTAACTGTGAAATTATTACGGACGGATAATCGTTAAAGTGTCCCGATTGCGAAACCTTCTTTACAGATAAGGTAATGAATCGTCAATAAAAGAGAATTGCGTCCCTTTTGCTTATCTCAACTTACTCATACTTTGTTGACCAATTTGATGTATTCAATGTAGGGCATTTATATTATCTGAATGCTTAAACCTGACAAGATTTATATTAACTTACAATATTATACTAAACATGAATGTGCTGATTAATATTATTGTGATTTCATCAGTACTGAGTGGTAAGTGTGATATTACATATTATGTTGACCCATTTATTAATATGTAAAAAAGATATTAAAGCCTAGTGTATTGTAAATAAACTTTTGTGTTTGTATATTTTGTTTGGTTTTACGGCGAACCAATACAGTTACGTCATATGGTGCCCGAACAACAATAATGATTTTTTTTGTTTTGATTGGGTTTTACGTCAGTTCGACACAGTATATGTCATATCGCGACGTTCCAGCTTTACTAGTGGAGGAAGACCTCAGGTGCCCCTCCGTGCATTATTTCAGGCACGAACGGCACCTGAGTAGAACCAGCGACCTTTCCGTAAGCTAGCTGGATAGCTTCCTAATATGAAAGAATCCAAGTCCCTGTCAGGATTCGAACCAAAAGCGGTGAGGGGCAAGTGGTTTGAAGTCAACGACCTTAACCACTCGGCCACAGATATAATAATTGTTATGGCTAACCTCATGTGTTACAATCTTAAAGCAACACCAGAGGTCAAACTACATCACCCGCTGGATATAAAAGATGCATAGACTCAAATAGTTCGAACCCATTAAGTCGCCCCTTACAATTTCTCAGGTTTTAAAATAGTGGCCATAATTTTGATATATCAACACTTAAAAGCAACCAATCACCGACAAGGGGGTTTAACACTAAGACAAAATAACAGTGTTGATATTGTACAAATTATGAAACAAGGGAACACATTTATTTTGTTGCATAAATCTTGCTTCGTACTTTAAGCGTCTTCTGTAACCTAGGTCGGTTTTTTTTTCAGTGACATCTGCATTGTACTGTCTTTCTTGCAAAGGTATAGCGGAGGCCAGAAATTGTGCAGATATTGAGAAATGTTCAAATGGACAGGTATTGTGTTTGTTTAATACTATATCAAATTGAACATAAGTAAGGTCCTATTTGCTACGTTTTCACAGTTCATCAATTTGTTTGGCCTTTATCATTATATTACACTTATAATAAACTAATTTTGTTTGTGTTTGTTCCTTTTTTATTCTTTTTTATTTGCATGTATGTTTTTATTGTCTGATTGATGTTGTTTGTCATGAAAATTGTTGAGTATTATTGTACAGATGCATGTATGTTATAAAAAATCGTGAAATCTAAGGTCATGATTCACACGTTGCATTAGATTTATTATGAGATTTTATTGTTTTGAAACAAGTTTTATCAGAAGTTACATGTCACATTTTTTTCTTATATAAGATAAAATAGTGGCATCACAGAAATTTATAGACTTAAGATAAAAATTACCATGCGCATTTTCTTGAAGCATGTACTCCTGGACTGCCCTCATATTGTTTAAAAGGTTACGCTTTATTACACATTGACTTAACTTTTATGTAACAGTTTGAGGCATAATTGTTTAGTTAAAAATACTTCATATCAAATAATACTTTTTTTCAATTTTATGAATTGTGGTTGCAGGTATGTTACAGTACACAGATGATTTCAACAAAAGGGATAATCTTTCGAAATATGGGCTGTCGCGACGCAGCGGTAAGCGATGCTTGTGTCATTTAACAAATCACATGAATGTGTATCTTTACACAATATCTAAACATTAATTAGTCAACTTACTTCTCAGTATTGTAAAGCCAGTATATTTTTGTGTTTTTTCCACTCAGTCGGCTCATCATGTTATATAACTGCCTTAAGTAGTTTTACTATTTATTACGACTGCCATGGTAAGTCTCATATTTATCACTGTAACAATCAAATGTCCAAAAAACCTTGATGTAAGAATTTGTATTATTTGTGTTCTGAATCGGAATTGTTTTCGTGCAGTATGAAAGTCATTGCGAATCTTAAGATGTTACTTTACTAGTAAGCAGATGAAAGACTGAAATAGATTAGATACATAACACTGTATTGGGCTATTAATGGGTATAATCCACAACATTTAATTTGCACATCTGTAAATGTATTCCAGATGTGTAAACATGGAATCATTGTTGGAAAGAGAAGCATATACAATCGTAAAAGTATGGTTAATGTCGACAAGTTCGATGAATCTGTAGAAGTTACAAGCAACAAAGCCAAAATGGCAGAAGTGCGGTCTCTTGATAAAGCGATATGTGACGAATGTTGCAATTCAGATCTATGTCAGACATCATTATGTTCTGACAAAGGTAAACGCTAGCAGATGTCTAAGTGTAAAATTAAAGAAAATATGTAGGGTATCTCCTCTTTTTTTTCTTTTTTTTCAATGTCTAATACAGTTAGCTTCGGTAATTACTATTCGAAACCATTTCAGGACACAGCGTGTTACATAATAATAATAGATTCAAATAGACTAAGTACCCAATAATGGGGGACTGTGACCAGTTATATGTTATTTCGGTTTTGGAGTGATTTATCATTTCTCTATTTTGGTAAATTTGTTGTTCTTTGACAGTTAAAAAGTGCTTGTTTATCAGAAATTACACTGCGCTGCATCGAACCGTACGCGCATCGTCACAGCAGCTCATGTTGTGTACAACGTGTGGTAATAAAAAGAGGAAATTTAATGTGTTTAATACCGGTATTGCTCGCTTATAGCAATTTCTCCCGGCGCATAATTATCCATAAAAAACTTGAAGGGTAATAAACTATAATATTGTTATGCTGTCTGTAAGATGTTATTTACTATTTGAAGATTTAACTGAAAATAAATCTCAAATGCTAATCTCTTAAATTAAGTCCTGCCTCAAAACCATTTTCCTGCTTTATACATGCAAAAGTCTAAATTTCTTAACCCTTTACCTCATATATACGCGAAATAACGCACTTTCGACCCCCCTTTTTTAGGCCTGAAATAGTGAAAAAATGTCCTATTTGGGCCCCAAACACATGTTTTCGTTAGAAAATGTTGCTTAAAAAAGTGAGCACTTTTTCGGCGCCGCCCCCATCCAAAAGATACATTAGGGGGTTGTCAGAAGGGGGATGTGCCCCCTACTGTTTGGGGGGGTTTGAAGGGGGCGGAGTCCCTCATCGCCAAGAAAATAGTGGACTTGTGAGAGGCTAAAAATGACCCCAGGTCAATAATAAGATTACGTGTAACCAACGCTGAAAAGCATTTGACTCTATCTCAATCCCTTACGAAGTTGCGGCACTTTGAAGTAAATTTTGATGGAAAAAAATCGAGGCAAAAAAGTGATTTCTGGCAGTTTTGAAATGTCCCCTCGTTGCCATGGTAACAGGAAATTTAAGACTGAGCATGTCGTTACATGGTCCAGTCAACATTTGTGCCAAGTTTGATTAGTATTGAAACATTTTTCATAGTTTCATAGCAGTTTGAACTTGTAACAGAAGGCTTTTCAGTGAAAACGGCCATTTTTTCACAAAATGCTCATGAGGGAAAGGGTTAAAATCAAATTATCACAATGCAAATTTATCTTTAATACATTTAACATTATTCATGTCATATTGAAGCCAGCCCTCGTTTTCCTTTGATTATATACGATTTTTTATTAATTTGATTGAATCTTGATTTAAACTACATTGTGATTAAGTGATTCCAATCATTAACTTCCTTAAAAGCAAATTAAAGTGAACGTAAACTGTAGCGATATCAAGAAAAAATACATATTTGAAGGGAAAATGGGAATATTTTGTCACCTATCTATTTTGCAGGTGCCTCTCAACTTGGACCAGTATGTTTCAATTGTGACGCCCAATCACCATCTGATCCTTGCATGAAAATCGACAGGTGTGACGCTGATGAGGTAAATGTCAGGGTACAAAGTCGTAGTTCATTCATAAATTCGGCACTGATGTTGTTTTTAATGCATGCACGTTGTGTGACGTATATGACGCTGGTGACGAGCGTATTTTTGTAAAATTATTAACACCTGATTACTTTTTTATGCATTGACAACATGATGGCTTTCACATAGCTGACCGGTTGTATTATAGTACATATTGTCATATTAAACACGATTATTTGCATAACTTAAATGTTCATAACAAAAGACAAAATTGAACAAAAAACAGGACAAAAGTTATCCCTTGAAAGCAATAATCACAACAAAATCACACGGAAATTGCAATATACTCGGATTGATTGAGTCTGTACTTGAGAGATAATGAAATTGTAAAAGATCCCTAACACCCCCCCCCCCCACATCCGTTAAGTCAATAGGAGGTATATGTAGTGTCTTATGCGTTACTTGTTTAAGTGATTTCTATATCAGAAGCAAACTACAGATGTAAAGTTGTCAAGAAGATTATTATTGTTTTTGTTGTTGTAGCTGCTCTCAAGGGTTGATCGCACAACAAATTGCAGTCGTTTTTTTTCCTGTTATTATTTCAAGTCTGTTATTTCAGTCATGTTATCAAAGTTTCTCCACACATCACACATCAGGAACACTGCTTAGAAGTGGATGCGTTTTTACGAGCGTAAGTAAAATTCTAAGTATGAAATTTAGCAAATCTAGGTGGGATTGATCTTACACATAGGTAACATTTCAACGGTACGTTTCTAGCATAAATTGTTCATGTAAGCATCTCCTTATTTACTAACAACCTAGCTTTATAATTTGGTGTTTTTTTGTGCAATGCTGTAATTTCGCCACGCTGGGGTGCCAGGCGAATCACGTAAGTATGTCATAATATGAACGACAATATCAACGAGGAAGGGCAGCTTTCAATGAACGCAACTCCTGCACGACCTAACAACTAAGGATAACTGACAAGGATCCTAGCAGGATCTCAAACAAATAGACATAACAGGGAACACGGCAAAACACAGACTGTATGATTACTTTTTTTACGGACAAACTTTACTCTATGTATATGCAGATGCGTTTACAAACGATGTAAGACGTTTAAGGCAAACATGTAAGCTGAACTGTAATTTCATAATGGAATTTTCAGCATGCGTGTGTTACATTTGTTTCTAATTGAATATAAAATAGAAAACATATCTAAATTTAAAAATACAAACATGTGTACTTGTATAATAGCGTGATTAATTTTATTTAAATTCAAGAGTTTCAAAAGAGTTTCAAAATATCATGAATATTTTCAGACGTGTGGGCATTTCCATATACCTGAGACAACCACGGATGTATGCTGGAGATGCTGTGACAATGATTTATGCAATGCCAATTGTACAAGTATACCTTACAACAACGCACATACAACAAAAGGTAAGGACAATCAGCATCAGCATTATTAACGTCATCCCATCATTAAATTTAAAATAACGCTATTTTTCATTTTAATAGCATCTTTGGTAGCTTTCTTCGCCACCATCATAATCATCATGTTTAATTTAATAATATAGACTACTATGTTTTCTTACTTACTCATTTTCTATTAATTTCAAGCATTTAAATGTTTTATCACTTAAATAATTCCTATGTTTAAACTTGCTTCAAAATTGATTTTTTAAATTAATTTGAAGTAACTCTATCATATATTGTTTTATGTTTATTGTAGGTAGCTAAATAAATGCTGCATGTATTACGTTTATACAATTTAATAAATTATATCATCTTTTGACATATTTTTATTCGATGCTTTATTTCGTCTTTATGTTTTCACAGGTCCAAAATGATTCTACATTCTTATTTTATTTCTTAAAATAGTATAACTACGACCTATACAATGTTAAAGAGAAAAATTAAAACAAACGATAAATAGTTTTAGCCAATAAATTGTAATAATATCTTCATTTTATCATTTTTTATTCCGGAGCTTTAAACTACCTATGCTTTCACAGGTCCTTGCGTTGATAGATCATCGACAGTTACTTGTGAACTTGCTTCAAGCATTGCGTGTAGTGACAAAGATAAGGCCAGTCACGCCGGATGTTCTCATTTTTGCGGATTTTGCTAAAGGAGCTTTGGCAATTTATTTTTTAATGACATTCATGTGTTAAACTTATGAATATAGATCGAAATTAAATACTTCTGTAATTTAAATGTGTTCATAAACATTTTGCTATTTAAAAATAGTATTGATAGCCAGCTATAGGGCGTTCGTGATCGAGGTGTTAAGGTTACGACGTCAAAACGCTGTGGGTTCGAATTCCGCTGATAATTCTGGAATTTTGTCATGTAAGAAAAATATCGGAACGTCGATGTTTCTGAAAAAATACAAGTGCCAGCATTTCATAACTTCCTGCTACAGCAATGCAGGAATCTTTACAGCGACTGTGGCTCGAAAAACTCAACTTAATTAAAAAAGTCTGATGTTTGAATGTCTGTTTCTTTTTAGAAATAAAGATATTGTCTTTCTAACTTGCATCTCACATTGTTTTAATAAATTGTTCATGATAATCTACTTTTAAGAAACCGAATGATAAAAAGTCATGTAACGTATTAAATACAGTTTGATTTTCCGAATCTATAAGTATGTTATTGCTATATTCAGTCTAATCTTTGTGACTCGTGGTCAAGAAACTGTACATTTTCTTGAAGAATTAAAAAAAAATCTGATTTCATTACGACGCAAGAGGTAAGGTGTTCGTGCTCATTATCTAGCTGCAAAGATACTCACATGTCCCCAACGTTCGACAATAGTGACTTTGCTAGCTCTTCGGATGGTTGTATTAGGATTTATATAGTGCACGAATAAGCGTTTATAATGATACCTGAATAATATTAATAGGTCCCCTAGCCTTCTTACGCCTTCTTAGAATACTACGCATTTGATAAAGAATAGTGCGTGCGATGCAATGCTCGTAGCTGCTAGTGCACACATGGGCATCTTGGGTCTTCCGTCACCATTAAAGTTAGAGACACGCCTTATGACCGTTAAAATGTCGGTATGTCTTCTTAAATAAAAGAAAATACAATGCATTCAAAATAAAAATCGAATTCCCAATAAACACTAACCTGTTTGTACAAACCTTTGCCGCCAGTATAAAACAAGTCCAACATGCACGTCCATTGTTTACTCGATTTTGTTAAATACATGCTCCTTGATTTGTCCGTTCTTAAATTACTGTAGGGCAAGTCTACAATTTAAATTCAGCAAATTAAGGATTGTAGTCTTGAGAAACGTTAAAAACAAATTCGGCAAAAACTATAGAGGAACCCAATAGTAAACTACTTACTTGTTTTTTTTCCTACTTGAATTATATAATTTAGAAAGAATGATACATGTATATTCCTAGTCGTCAATAAATACCAAATCAATCTTTAAACCAAAATGATTTAACGAAACAAAATAAAGTTAATCATAAAAGATAATCGTAAAGTTACCCTAGAGCAATAACTAAGTTCCACTGTACGTTAGTTATTGCACATGCTGAAATATTTTTCGATTTTATCATGATAATATGACCATAGTGTTGTGAGGACATTTAGGACATGACATTATACATTTTTACTTTTAGACAAGAAGCAATCACTATCACGAGAATGTGTCACGTTTTAGTTTAAACAGTCCCCTTATCTCTTCGGCAATAAAATGATATTTGAAGTTCTTTTATTTGACAACTTGTTGGCTCACTGTTATGTACACTTTCCTATCCGACTGTCGTGCTGCAATTTAAGCTAAATCATACGCTAGTGAGAAGTCGCCTTCACCAAATAGATCTTTTCTTAACATATAAACGTGTTGTCGAATAATTAGGATCCAGGGTTAAAGCAAAGGCAAAGTTTTTTTTTAAACCCCGTGTTAGCTTTTTTTCTGTTTGTTTGTATAAATACCTTTTTGGAAGTATTTTAGTCACACCGACAAGACAATGACCATACCGCCACTTCCCGACTCGTGTGATTGAGGAAGACCTGTAGTGCTCCCTGTTAATTTCTTTAGGCACGTGCATGTACCCAAGTAGAACTACCAACTTTTCTGTGAGCTAGAATGCAATGCTTCTAGCCGGATTTGAACCAAAAGCGGTTCGAGCCAAGTGACGAAATGTCAAAGGTTACCTAAAGCGATTATGTTAATAACAAATAACATGTGCGGAATCCTTGAATCTAAAACTTTGATAACTACACTCCAAGTAGTCGATTCTTGTATACTTAGATCTGTAGTTTTGTTTCGCTATTTGTTTATTTATTAACAAACATTAGATTTTAATAATCATGCAGACTTATTCTTTAATTATAATAATAATAATAATAATAATAATAATAACAATATTATTATAATTATTATTATTATTATTATTATTATTATTATATATACCAAACATCTAAAGCACTTTTATCATGCACACTTACACGTTCAAAAGTACTGTACAATATAATCAAATAAATGAAACAATATTTAAAAGAAAAAGAATTTAAACAACAATATTGCTCAAGTCACAAATACAAATCAAATGTAGTTTAATAAAGTTAAAAAGACCCACATGTAATGTTTGCTGAATGATTAAAGGTTGTCTGCTTGTTTTGGAAATTCATTTGATATCACCTGATCTGCTGGCCCCGTGTTCACAAAGAAAAGATCAGGATCAGGATCAAGTGATCCTGATTTTATTTTCATTGTTTTATGTTACTAAAATTAATCTTGTTCGCTAGAATTAAATGGTGAATATTAAAAATGTAAAAAAATGTTGATTTGCAAAGAAACCAAACTATTTTGGGATAAAATTAACAAATAACAGAACAAATACAAAATATTCAGATCAAAATAAGGATCAATTTTAGGATCAGGATCAATATTTGGATCAACTGTAAAATGCCTGTAACTTGCAAAAATAACAATGACTTTATTCTAAAATTTCATAAACTTGCTATTGCATGCCCAGTTTTATCAAATTAACATAAGATATTTAATCTATGAGTATAAACAATAAAGAATATTAGAGTTTTTAAATTTGATCCAGATCTTGATCCTGATCCTTAAAGCTGCATGCCTCCAGATGAACCAAAATATGTCAAAAAAATTAAACTTGAGAAAATGTAATAAGGTTTTAACAAAATTAAAAATATTAATGATTCGAGTAATGATTTACATGTTATGTGCTATTAAGGGCTGATTTTGCAGTATTTATCACCATTTTCCTATTGCGTTACTAACGCAGTAGGGGCTATTTTAGCTTATTGTGACCTCTTTTTGGTAATCAAAACGTGGATTGCAAATGCTGTTTGCAATGTGGAAATTATTTTCTTTGATCATTTACCAATATTTTAATTTAGAATACATTTTCAAAATTTTCATGAAAATGAGCATGAATCTGGAGGCATGCTGCTTTAAATCTTTGTGAACGCGGGGCCAGAAGTACATATCATAAGCCAAATTTACATGCCAAGTGATATGCACACTGACTTAATACGATGTGCTTATTCATATTATGACGTTTTGAAGAAACACACCCATTTTCTACATAGCAAGTGTCATTCAATACCATGACATCTGCCTATTTGCCCGCTATCTATTTATTACAATATAATGCACTATAGTTACATTTTATTTTTCTTATTTACGCGTGATCCTTTTTTAAAGTTCACAAATACCATTTACCTTTCATAAAACAAATATCTGGTGTAAGGTTTAAAGGTATTCATTCTACGTATTATATGTTAAACGATGACTTATAAGCTAAATGGGTTCAGTGTATTTGCATTATTTATTATTTTTGTGTAACCATATTTATGTGTTCACACAAGTTTCAATAACACGCACTTTTCCTCTCTAACTTATCTTTTCTTATCACTTATTATTATTTATTTATTATTATCCAAAGCTTTGACTGTTATTTAAAGATCGGATTAATTGTAAATATGCTGGGCATCTTGATAAACATTCTCTTTGTTGTGCATCTTGGTAAATCTTGGTAATTAAGTGTCGCTAAAATCAAATGTGGTCTGAGTTGTAAGTCTGAGATAACTATATAACTATAGCGTTTATTTTATTAACATATTATCATGTCATGTAGACATTGAATGACAAATATGTTACACTGATGATATGCATCCATTATTCCGTCTCCTATTTCTTAAGACTACGTATCAAGTTCTTGTATATGCATTATGTTCCATACCAAGTTGTAATCTTGCTAAAAAACGTTAATAAGGTGTTTTTACTTTTTCAAATAAGCGGTGTAAAGTATCCAAGACTTCTAAGATAGTATTCACAATTTATTCATACTTATACATAAAGGATTTCAGCAAAAGCCACAGTAATGTTCACAATTTGCATTTCTCGCATGAGCAAGATCTTTACAAACTATACTAGCCGCAAGCTTACAGGTTTGCCAATGTGTAGAGTCGCTACATCCAGCTGAAACATTAAACAAACCAACAAAATATTAAGTTATCAAGACATGATCTAAAATACATGTCAATGTTTCAGACTAGTTACTATGCTTGTACAATGTGCTTTGTTTAAAAACATTTTCGCGGTTATACTGATTTAAATTATAACGATCCTGTAAAATATTTCAATAACTAATTATTTTAATAAAACGTTCAAGGATACAGACCACAACTATGTAAGATAAAATATTAAGTGAACCGATAAAAAATTAATAACATACATACACACATGTTTGTTGTTTCATTTTACGCCTTTTTCCAACAGTATAGGCGGGTAGTTTCCTAATCATCGACTCTAACCCCTCGACCACGGGGGAGGGGTACACATACATACATACATACATACATACCCTACCCTACCCCTACCCCTACCCCTACCCTACCCTACCCTACCCTACCCTACCCTACCCACCTACCCACCTACCCACATTCCTACCTACCTACATACATACATACATACATAAATGTGTAAAGAACGAATGTTTATGAATGATAAAAATAAAATTAAAAAAAATCATCACTAAGTACCACGTGTTGAAAGTTGTCCAGATGGGGTCGTGGAAGCAGTTACTTCGTGGTCAACGTTGTTACATCCGGTGTTACACACATCAGCAGCACAACAGGTAAAGCATGTAGAATTCGTCTTATGGAAGCTGTTAGAACTAACTATTCGTTCACATATCTTTAAGAAAAGATCGCTTGTATTACTGATATATCAACATAAGTATGTCAAAGCACTTGAGACACAATACCAACTTTAGTTGTTAATCCGTCAGAGAACAGTTGCAAAAAGGTAAGTCCATCCCATGACCATTCATATTCAAGATTGTTATAAACAACCATTATTGAAATGCGGTTTTCTCATGTTATCACATGCGCTTAATATTATAAACATATGCTATTATAATGATACACACATAACAGCTAGATTGAGTTGCATGTAAAACCAACATGCTTTTATACTTTGCTTAATCCATCATTTTGATGAATTTTATAATCATTACTAATATTTTTATATCAATTATTATAATAAAATAATAAAATTGATAAGATTAAATGTTTTGAATTTTTCAGTTGAAATAAGAATTGATAAAACTAATGCTATATGTTTCAGATAACATTGGTGTTGAAAACATTAAATGTTTGCATTTTCTATGCTTACATTATTTTTAGAGATATTGCATGACTAGCATTTGTCTTAGATATAAACAAATTATACCTTGTGTATGCACAAATTCTAATTTTAAAAGTTACGTTTTTTAGAAACACGAAAATAATGTATGTTTTATAATTTTAACTTGAACATATATTACACCCTATCAATATGTAATTTGAAACAGTGATATATAAGGCTACAAAATACACTTTACTACCTATTTATATTGGTATAATTTTTAACTATTTTATTTACTTTTTTCAAAATAAATTTTTAAATAAATTTGAATCTCTCGTGCAGAAGCGATGAAAGATTATGTATCATCCCTGGTTTGCAATAAACAATTAATAAAAAAGGCTAACGGTTATCATTATGTGCATAGTACTTAATTTGATACATTGATTGGTAGCCATACTTTGAAACACAGTTCTTTAGTGTATCTTTTCCTAGAACAAATTCATTAATGTTGGTGTTTTCATATTTAAATGTTCCTCGTGTATGATGTTTCAGATAGTCACAGTTCTTTCAATGTCAGCTGTGAACAACACATCGACACATCTAAAGATGATGTTTGTTTGCTATTTTCGAACATAGTTCTTTATTAATTCCACTATTTATTTAGTTTAATTGAAGTTAGAAAAACTTAATGTTGACATATCATTTGAGTAAATTGGAATTGTATTTTTCCTAAGTCTGATAAAAACTTACCAAACAAGAATATTTCATTTAAAAACTATTTTAGCTCGGTCGAGCTCTGTAATTCTTAAGACTTAGTTGTTTTGTGATCATTTATTTTCTGTTTGAACAATGTACGAATGGTGATTTTTAAACAAGTGTATCCTTATTGGGTCCCAAGTGGAATTTTGAAAATCCCACTCAAAAATCTAAACTTTTAAAAGCAAGATTCAGGTGGGATCAAGTTGAGTCCGTTGAGGATTAGGATCCCGCTGGATTTATCATTTATTATTTTATAGGTGATCCCGAGTGAGATTCAGATTTTGAATTCCACTTGGAATTATACACTTTATCTATTAACATTCCGTGGATCTCCCACACGATCTCATTGAAATCTCATCAGTTGTTTTCACTTTGATTTGACAAATGTAAAACTGAAAACGTATAATACTTTTTATTTTACTTTAAGATGTGTATGTAAATATCTGTTGCTTATGGAGAACGTAATAATTGTACATGTTACTCCCTATAATGTTATATCTGTTCCTGGTGTGATAGGAACTTTAACATTTCAAAAAACAATCTGTTTACTCTTTGGTTACTATCTCCATTTAGGATACCTTGGTTCATATAGATTTTAAAGATACCTATGACAAGATAAACACGAGAATTGCTTTTCATTCTCGAAGGTATACGGGTAGGGTGTTATGCCATAAAGTCTTTTAGTATGTATGTAACATATGTAATAAATAAAGCAACCTTACACTTAACCGATAATAGATCTTTATGCACTTATATGAAGAGAATAAGATATTTATTATAAACGTAACTAGGAAATGCAAGATTTAAAAAATGCCTTCAACCATCGAATAATGCATCTTAATTGGCATGTTCATATTCTAGAAGAATACGAGGTAGCATATAGGCGGCAAAATAATTTTAAATACGGGTAGGGTGTTATGCCATAAAGTCTTTTAGTATGTATGTAACATATGTAATAAATAAAGCAACCTTACACTTAACCGATAATAGATCTTTATGCACTTATATGAAGAGAATAAGATATTTATTATAAACGTAACTAGGAAATGCAAGATTTAAAAAATGCCTTCAACCATCGAATAATGCATCTTAATTGGCATGTTCATATTCTAGAAGAATACGAGGTAGCATATAGGCGGCAAAATAACATTATTTACATGTTCTGTTCTTATATGTAATTGCAAAATACTAAGTTAAAAAGCACACCAAGGCAATGACTGAATACTCACACTTTTAGACATACATCCTGATTGTAAAAGGTCATGATGCCCGGAAGCATAGTTGAGAGTGCATGCCTAAAATCAAGTAATGATTAAGGTAAAGGAAAGATTATGTCAAATACTTCTTAGCTGATATATCTGCATTATTTGAGAATGAAAAGTAAAAGATAAATTCTTAGACTACATAAATTCGAAACACACGATGATTTCACAGTATTGTTCTTAGGTTACTTTTTTATCTAATACAAAAGCAATAATGTTTAATATTGAGCATGAAATTGTGGTGTACTCATTACTAGACGTCATACTTACTTCACCTCGAGCGCATTCCCGAACGCTCGTACAAGGACTGTTCCGAGTCTGATAGTCACAATGAAAGCATATTGGTCCTCTATCCGTCATATAATCTAAGAGCCATATTTATATGTATACATACATGCTAAAACAGCTGTTAGATAATTATGAAGGTATGTCAAATTAAGTTCTCATTTTATCTAATTGGATATATAAAATGTCAATATCACATTGTAAGGACAGAGCTACATATGGCTTGTTCTACTACAACCTTTTTCAATGTTGTTCCTTTTTTTAGATCGCCTTGTTTAAGGGTTTATTGTGGAACAATGTAGTTGTAAAATGGATTTTTAGGTTTAAATCTTTATTCTTTATTCGTTGCAAGCGTTTGCGTTTAGGATAACGAAGTTCAAATAAGCTTTATTTCTCATCAATACCGTTAGTTATTGAATTTTCATAGAAGTGTAAGGACTGCAATATACATACATTAATTGTTGTCTGATTTACGATAAACTTCTATCAATTTTATTAAATTAAAGATACTACCGGGGTATATTTTTCACACGTCATTTCATGCTGATCAAAAGATGCATACTGTCTTTTGTTGCGCATTATATTTGTTTGCAAGTAAACAATAAAATTGTTTGTAATTACTATATAGTTTTGCGGTGACGACGATAAACAAAATTTTAATGCGAATGTGTACATGCAAATAAAATAGGTAGAGTAATGTGACTTAGACTTTGGTAAGATGAGCCGCAGAATTTTTAATCACGTTTTTGTCCAAAGAATGTGCCGCAGAAATAAAGTCCGCAGAAATAAAAACATGCCAAAATTTGGAAAAACCGCAGAATTTGGAGCCCGCAGAAAAAACCACTTATACGGTAGGTATTTAATAAAGAAAGCTGTTATCCTATATATTTAACTTTTAACAGGTTTTACTGAAATAAACATGAAGGTTGATCATTTACATAATGAACTATACTTTCATATTAAAACGGGCAATATTCTAGTATGGAAAGCCATGGCTGTCTGATATTGTTCTTATGTAACCATTTGGATTATATATAAGTTCACTTCGGCTAAATATGAATTGAAAACACCTTCATATTTAACCGGAATCCATTATAATAATCCACAGTTACAATATATGAAACCATACCGTCAGTGTATGAAACTGAGTTAGCAATATATAAGTTGATTTTTTCGATATATGATTTCGATTCTTCAATATATGGTACCAAAGTAGCCATGTATGGAATCAGATATCATTATATGAAACCGAATTATCAATATATAAATTCGTTTTTTAATATACATGTATGTAACCAACTATCAATTTATGAAACCAAAGTAGAAATATATAAGTTTGTTATCGCATTATATGATACCAATTCTTCAATATATTGTACCAAAGTACCCATATATGGAACCAGATGTCCTGATATGAAACCGAATTTTCAAAATATTAATTCATTTTTACAATTTATGAAACCAATTTATCAATGTAGGAACCAAAGTAGCAATATATGACTTGATTATCACTTTATATGATTCCAGTTCTTCAATATATGGTACTAAAGTAGCCATATATGGAACCAGAAGCCCTTATATGAAACAGAATTATCAATATATTATGTCATTTTTACAATATATGAGACCGTTTTATTAATGTATGGAACCAACGTAGCAGTATATAAGCTGATGTTACATTCTATGATAGCAATGTTCATTATATGGAGCCAAAATAGCCTATTTTCAAGTCAACACGTCAAAGGAATTCTGTTATTACAATGCATACACTTTTTCATGAAATCAATTATTATTTGTCTGATTATGTTTAAACTTTGTGAATTGATTAACCTTTATGTGTCCTACTGGATATGCCAATTTCTTATCAAAAGTAAAGGTCAAGATGAACATATTTTTTAAATATGTTTTTGTTAATGGTCAGTACGGCTCAGCTTAAATTATGACTTTGAAACTTTACATACAACTCGTACATATAAACGATAAGTTTTGCCTGCCCAGCTTATTTTAAGGCCAAAGTGAATGTGATGTTACATTCAAATATTTCCTTATTTAGAAAATGTGTAGTGTGTCATCAGTGAAGCACGCTAGTCTTTTGACAGTTCAACAAGGAATATTGGCGCGAAACTGTAATACCAGTGCAAAGATAGAATACAAACTTAAAAAAGTCCCGTCAATATAATGAAATTTTAGTTCCATGCATTGCTCATTTGGTTCCACATATTGGAAAAGTTGATTCATATACTCGCAACCTATGTTAATACATTGAGGAATTGGTGTCATATAATGTAAAAATCAAGATATAAATTGATCAAATGGTTTCATATAATTATTGTAAAAACGATTAAATATATTGATAATTCGGTTTTATTAAAGGACATCTGGTTCCATATATTGCTACTTTGGTATCATATATTGAAGAACTGGTATCATATAATGTGATATTCAACTTATATATTGATATTTCGGCTCTATACATTGATAAAATAGTTTCATATATTGTATAATGAATTAATATATTGATAATTTGGTTTCATATAAGGATATCTGATTCCATACATGGCTACTTTGGTACAATATATTAAAGAATTGGTATCATATACATGTATTGATAAAATCAACTCATACATAGCTACCTTGGTTTCATACACTGACGGCATGGTTTCATATATTGTAACTGTGGATTGATATAATGGATTCCGGTTAATAAGAAGGTGTTTTCATATCATATATTGTCGAAGTGAACTTATATATTATCCAAATGGTTAAATAAATTGAAAAAGAACAATATCAGATAGCCATGGCTTTCCATAATCTAGGGTTATATTTTAGAAAAATACCCTTTAGTAAACCATTTCAAGCAAAATTGCTTCTAATTACCTTCATCATTACAAAGTTTGGGCTGACATAGGTTAGAATTGCAACAGGCATCACATAAAATAGTATCGCCCAGACTTCTCCAAGCCACACCAGTTACTTCTTCTGACAATCCTCTACCGAACAAGAATCGTTTACCAACAATGCCGGTTGTTGTACTGCATTGCTTTTGTTATTCAGAAGAAGACAAAATAAAACGTCACTGCTAAACGGTGGTCAATAAACAGCAAAACAAATATATGTGATAAAGTATGCGAACATTGTTATTAAGATTTAAGACAAAGAACTAAATCTTCAACGTTGATTCATTTCTTTTAACCAATGTAATGTGCATTGATTATTACATTGCTTAGTAAATGGAGAAAAACCACCAGAACGTGAATATAACGCAAAATATTTGACCTCTTGTCCATAAAGCATGGGCTGTTTTTTTTATTGAGAACATTAATGTCATTTCAAAATTTCTAAAGGCACTGCCTGAAAACGGTGATAGTAAGCAATAAACAGATTATGCATTTCTTTTCTCTTTGTTAGTGTTTTTTTTTTTTTTTTTTTTTTTTTTTTTTTTTTTGGTTTTTTGGGGTTTTTTTTTTCACACACATATTTCCTTATACATTCCTTCATTTTTTGTAACGATTAGGATAGTCAAATATTTAAAAGAAAAACAACAATATTTTGCTACGTCTTGGAAAATTTGCGACAAAATCAAATGTATAAATTGACAAATTAAATGTTTCAGTTACACTATGGACTGCCAATAGACAACAGCTGTATCGTTTATTTTCTAGTTATTTCTAATTATAAGCAGTTTTTATACTATTATTTATTTAATAATATGTTACAGTATTATAGTTATTATTATTTCATTGTCGGAACAAATTCACGAAAATCTTTTATTACACAATTTACATTTTTCTGCAGATTAAGGTACCACCGCGCTTTTAAACATCAGCTGTACACATTTGCAATAAGAAAGTAGCAATATTCTAATCTTTAAACAGATTGGCACATTAAAATAGTAAAAACTTACCGATACATCTCTGCATCCCATTTTCCTGTATACCTGACCATTGCTTGTTATGCTCTGAGTTGAATAACACACCTTAAAAAGCAATGTCAGTAAAATATTCATAGTGTGTCCTCCTTTAATCTCATTGTTATGCCTTTATAAAAGGAGATTAAAAGATAAGAATCCCAGTTAAAATTTTAAGCAATTTTTCCAGATAAAAAAAAATCAAATGGCAACAAACATATACAATTGCGTTTGATATTTGCAAGGGTTATGATTTGCAACATGTTTTTTATACTTCTTACATAGTGATATTGCAAATAACATACTTTATAAGGTGTATAATAGCGTAATCTAGCCTTTGAGAATTTCGTAATTTGGAAAAAATAGTATAGACATACATTTTGGACCTGTCAATAAACACACATCTTTTGGAATAAATTGTTTGAATGTAAGTTAAAATCGGTAAACATGTAACCGTAGACCAATTTTTGGCATTTTATTCATTCACAAAATAAGATTTTGTGAAATATTCTTTGATTATCTAATTTTATATTTATAATTGTAAAACAAAGATTAAAACACAACATAATCTTGTGTTTAAAAGAATATTGCTAGACAAAATATGCTTGGAAAAAAATACGTAAAATAAATAGAAAAGCCACACACACGAACATTCAGTAATTATTTATTGCATACGTTTCGGCAATATGCTTCCTTCAGTGCAAAACATAATAAAATTACCGGAAGCGACTTCATAACGGAACATGCGTTAAACGCGCAAAAAAACGTTATGGCTTTGGCGGCAAAAATATGATAACATGTATAAACAAATATTTATGTTATAAATAAAGTTGGTACATGAATTAAAATGGATCAATAGTGATACAGCTGTCTATTTGACAGGGTTAATAAAGTTAAGATAAACATATAAATATTCATGTAACACACTATAAATCAAGCAATACTTTATTATTTAGTCCATTTGGAATTATAGTATTTAACTATGAATCCAAAAAGATAGATTCCTTTAATAACCGGTCCATGTTGTATGCTTTTATTTCTATAGGCAAAAATGAAAAATCTAATAATGAACACTTATTTTCGGGTGATCCGAAATGGATGGCAATATGTGAAACTGAATTAACGTCACAATTTCTTATATCAAATCTATGTTTATTCATTCTGCATGATACATTTTGATTAGTTCGATCTACGTATTGTTTATTACAGCCTTTACATGTAATGAGGTAAATTACATTACTTGTAGTGCAGTTAACATCATAATGTTAATCAAAAGAACGACCTGTAATGCTGCTATTAATTGTGAACCACTTTATTTTGTTACAATGTGAACATCTACTTCGTAAACATTGGCTAGATAAAAATGTACAATCTAGTAAAGCACTTTTCATAAGATAATCTCGAATATTTAAGGACGTCTATCAGCTAAAATTAGGTTTGAACTTGGTGTGTATATATTTAACACTTTTTTTTTATCAGACAAAAGTAATAGATCCCGATATTTATTTAAGATTTCACGAGATTTATCAAAACATACAGTAAAAGGTATTATTGAACTAGTATTTTAACGACAGGACTAGCAGCATCATTTTGGGACATGCCTTGGATTTTAGAAAACGCTTTCTTAGTAATAGATTTAGGATAATTTCTATCAGAAAAATATCTATTCAACGTATCTTAATTTTTAAACTTTAACATAAAAAAGAACATGTACCTGATTTGGTCCACATTTCTTGACAACGCTACAGTCACGTGCTTTGGAGACATCTGCACATTGATAGCAATATAAATCACCATGTGTGCCTTTTACAATTTGAAAAAAAAAAATCATGGAATGTGTTGGGTAAAACATTTTTACATTCGCCAAAGTGTCCAATATTACGACCTGATTCAACTCGTTCAATACAATATATTTTGTAAATGCGTATATGTATAACGACACCGATATCTAGTAATTATTATAAAGTTTAGATTATTTAAGAGAAGAAAAAATGCCCAACATGTATCTTTGTATTACCCTTTTAACTTTGACATATTTTTTTTGTAAACTGTGAACGTCTGAGTGAAATGGTTTAGAAAATGGAATTGAAATATTTCGTTTTACCGCCAATGAATTAATTTCTTTTATATCCATCATTTACTGATTTAAATGATGTTGGGGTTGATGTGGAGGTACACGGAAAATTACGCATAATATAGAGGACAATGATGTATTTGATTTCTTTTACAATTGATTTACAATTAAAGCAAAATATGGAATCTATTTAGATGTATATGCAAGGCATGGACACCGTTTGAAATCCGATTGCATAAAAATAAATTAATACATACCATGTACAATTGCAAGCAATATGTAAAATAATACGGTTAGTGTAGAAGTCCCTGTAATAAAACAATGAAGACAGTAATATCTGTATAAATGTTGCTGTAATAAAACGATGAAGACAATAATGTATGTATAAACGACTTGGTAACACAAATAAATAAAGACAGTAATGTTTATATAGAATATAAAAACAATATAATCTGTATAAATGTCACTGTTAGACTAAAATGCTTATAGAATTGTAGCTGAAATAAAACAATAAAGACAATAATGTCTATATTATAGACGGAGATAAACAAAACAATAAAGACAACAAGTCTGTATAAAAGTCACTGAAATAAAACAATAATGATAAGCATTTAATATGATAACATTATCCAATCCTTATCACATCTTCCATTAAACGTAATTGACAAAACATCCATAACTTTAAATTGTAGTAACAATTACAACCCCTTGTTGTCGAGAGATAAATTATTGAGGTCATTATATAAAATTTATAATTATCCATTCATGAATATCATTTCATACATACTTATTAACATCCAACTTTAAAAAAAGTTTAAAATCTCTAAAAGATATTATATTGTACCTTAACAAAACAAGCCCATTACATACGCAATAAAATACTGTTATAATTTCAATAAGTGAAAAGTTATTGTACAAAAACAAACTAACATACACATGATTACTCCAAATATGTGAAAAGCCGTTAAAACTATAATGACACATTTAATATCTTAAAGAGTCAACAATCAAGATAAGAGTAATGATACATGTCTACTTTTATTTTATCTTATTCCTATGTATATTGTACATATATATGTACATGTTTGTCTTTCTCGTAACACTAAAGGAAACTTTCATAATATTTGAAAAGGTAGCACGCATGATCTATTTTAAACATTCACTTTGAATATGAACAGGCCAGACTTTGAGAAAGAATATATTCTACTTGACAATAAAGTAAATGCTGTGTCATCTTTGAAAATAGACGGGAACATAAATATAAACAAACATATAAATAAGCGTTTGTTAATATTTTCTTGCCGATGTTTTTGATTGTTTTGCTTTTAAACTTTATGTCACGGGGTCAAGTATACATTGTCTCTTATGCCATTGCTGTATATTTTTGTTCTGTTCGTGCCCATGTGTGTCTCTCTATATTATTATGTTATTGTTCATGTCCCTTATTCTTTTGCGTAGTTATTTCTTTAATTCATATACTCATAACTCATACCCAATATCCAATAGCCGATACCTATATATAATAGTTCTTTATAACCTTTTCATTCTCTTTGATTATCTTTTCTTGCTAACATTTCAATTTCCCCGCTAATCTGCACAACACATGCGCACTTGAATTGAGAAATTGTTAAAGCAGGCCACAGTTTTGTTGTAGAGAATAATAAATATTGTGAGTAGCGCTTACTTGTCTTTTTACATACCCTTCTACCCCAGGTCCAGAACTCACAGCAGAGTCAACGAGTCCCTTTGTTTCGTTTAAGCTGCGACACATATTGTCAAATAAAAACAGAAACATAAATGGCTACATGAATACAGCAATACACAATATAATATACACTGGATATAGATCTACACATGTGATACAAAAAAATCTCAAAGTTGACATCTACGTGTTTAAGAATACATAAATAAAATCAGAATAATGATGCATGTGCCACCCTAATTGGAGACATAATTGTATGGAGAAATCAATCTGACTCAAGTTCAGATGAACTTATTTCTTACATGTAGATCTTATTATCACGGTATCTTTTTCGCCAACATTACCGCATATATGACTGAAATCCTGTTGGGAAAAGGCGCAAAATGAAACAAACAAACAAACAAGCCTCATTACATTGTGCTTCGGATTTCCCGAGGAAACTATTTTAGTCATGCAATCAAACCGTTTTTTACAAATAGACATTAGACGAAGCATAAAATATCGATGTCTGTGGAATTAAAACAAAGTGATGATTTCTGTTAGAGAAAAAAAATGTTTGAAGTAATTTGAAACAAATAAATTAAAAATATCAGACTCAATGTTTAATGTGCAAGATTGTTTTGCCAGTTTCCCACTCGGCTATATGAACAGCGCCAGGTTTGTTATCGAAATCGTGAAAATTTCCAATTCAGTATTGGTTTTCCAGAGGTAATAATTAAAAACCGCATCAATTTCAAAGTTGTGGAAGCTGGCCAATGATTGGCTGTCTGAAAGATCACGAGAAGGTGACAACCTATTGGAGATCGTCAGGTCCTAATGTGTAACATAATTAAGGAGCTGATTTTAATCAGATTGATGGATAAATAAGAATATTAGACTGACAGGTATAACCGGCTAAAAGTAAGGAACCCGCCCACCCTCAACACTGGTGCAGCAATCTTTAAGCTCATAAAGACACTCTTGAATCCGGAACTGGATCCAATCAGTACTGGGTAATAAGAGTAAAGTGTCTTGCTAAATGAAAAAGAACAGATAGCAACTAACGGGGTGTGACCCCACGCGGCTAGCGATCCTTAGATAACTTGTAGTTATTTTTAATATTTCAACTGATAATATTTTCCAGATTAACTGGTTGAGGAAGACCAATGTTGTCCTTTCATGCATGACTTCAGGCGCAAGCTAGTACTTGAGTGGGACCACATATTACCTTTAGCTAGGTAGATAGCTTTCATTTTTCTTGAAATAATTCAAGCATTGGAATGGAGTCACTGTTGGGAGGAAAAAGTGTCGGCATCATTAACAAGTCGGCCACGGATTCTTCTAAAATCATAAAGTGGCATGACGAATATAACAATATGATGTTTCTTGTTATTTTATTTTTAGAATGTCCACAGTATTCGTTTATTCAAATAATTAACAAAATCCACAATAATGCTCGCAGTTGGCGTTCTGTGCGCGGAACTGGTCTTGGCAGACGATACTTGCTGCCAGTTTACACGTTGCCTCCGGTGTGCTGTCCGTACAACCTGCTGTTGTTTTGAAAAATAAATACAAAATTAAAATGTTAATCTGCGATAGGGCACATAGGAAACGTTCAAAGAAGATATATTCTTGCATATTAGACTGACGTTTCCGTTAGTTTTATCCATACCGGAAAGATTATCTGGCATGGGTGTGCCACTGAACAATGGCATGTTAAGGATGATGAAATTTCTACCGTTATGAATGAAGATAATTTCAAACGCTGTTGTAAGAAAGACTTTACTGGTGAAATGACATACATTTCCATGGAAAATTCATTTATTAAGGTAAAGTGTTTAAAGTATAATGCAATATGATAGGATATGCAAGCCTCCTTGCCGCCCGTTGAGACCCCCTCGGATCGAATATTTCTATCCAAATTGCAACATATGACAGATATAATTAGTCTGCGACAGTTATGTACTGATTTAAAACTGAAAATTTGTTTCACAAGATACAGACAAAGATCAAGGAGGTTATTTCTGATTCATTTCCAATTTTACTTAACAACAAAGAGAACAAAGTGACTCAACAAACTCGGACATTATCAGCAGAATAAAACAAAATAGAAAATAAAGTAATCATTTTTTTAATCATATTGTCATCAAAAGGCAGATATACGTGTACAAATAATTTGTTGTCTATACAGGATGTTGTAGTGGCAAAACAACATATTCCCACTTGAGTTTGTTCACACTGTTGCTTATTATACCATATGTTGATTGTTTTCTTTGCTATCAGAATTCACTATCGTGCCAATTAATTTCGACATAATTAGTATCTATGTCGCGTATGCTGGACTATGTTTATGTGGAATTATCTACTAAACCTTATGTTATGTTGGACCTTAATCGAGTTGATTAATAGCTTGTTCTTTATGAAATTATTTTGACCCTTGTGATTCTTTTTTCGCTGTATAATTACATACTTTGCACTATCCTTCCTGCTGGTTGCATAACAAAATATCAACAAATCTTGTATGGGCCTTTAGGCTTGTTATATTAAAGAACAAACTCATTTTCTTTTTACCTTTGTGCCAGTTGTTTTACGATATAATCCCAAGTTGTGTGTTGACCTTCGCGCTGATAACAGTACAATTACATACCTTTGTTCCAGTATATTACGGTATATTCCAGATACCTTGTGTTGACCTTTATTCTAGTTGCTAAATGGTAATGTCTACATATATTGTGTATTTTTTGTGTTCATTGTTTAAACAATATACCT